CAATGACCCTAAATGGATAAATAATTATTTAAGGAACATCATTGGCCAAAGGAAGGCTATTGGTAGAAGGATAAAGCGTGGCGAAATTTACCTCCAGGATTATTATAAGATATTGGCGAGTAGGGTTAAAACCGAGATAAGGAAAGCCAAGAGGAATAATGAGGTAAGGATAGCTAGGGAGGCGAAGACAAATCCCAAAGGATTCTACCAAATGTATCAAACTAAAACATGAGAAAAGATTGGACCAATACGGTCAGATACCGGCGAACTCACTGATAACGACGGAGAAATAAGCAATAATTTGAATAAATATTTTTCAACAGTTTTCACCACCGAAAATTTAAACATGATACCCGAGGCACCGACTCTATTCAGAGAAAGTGAAGAAAACAAATTAAGTGAGTAGTAGTTACTAGTAACGATGTTAGTAAGCAAATAGACAAACTAAAGCCTAATAAGTCACCTGGTCCCGATGAGATATTTGCCAGAGTATTAAAGGAATGTAAGGAAGAGCTTAGTATGCCCTTAGCAAAGTTGTTTAACATGTCCTTAAAACAGGTGTAGTACCAGAATCCTGGAGGATAGCGAATGTAATACCGATTTTCAAGAAGGGGGATAGATCACTATCCTCTAACTACCGCCCAATCAGTCTAACATCAATAGTAGGCAAATTACTGGAAGCAATCATTTCAAACTCGAAATCACCTGGAGAAGCACGGATTGATCAATGATTCCCAGCATGGCTTCATAAGCGGATGTTCTTGTCTAACTAATCTATTAACATTCTTTTCATCAGTTTTCGAATCGGTGGACGAGGGGCACAATTATGATGTGGTATATCTCGACTTTAGCAAAGCCTTCGACAGAGTCCCCCACGAAAGACTAATTAGAAAGGTAGAAGCACATGGCCTCAAAGGTAACATCCTTAAATGGATTAGGGCGTGGTTACAGGACAGGAAACAGCGAGTGAGCATTAACGGCACTAAGTCCCATTGGAGCAACGTCACAAGTGGAGTTCCCCAAGGCTCAGTACTTGGGCCATTATTATTTATTATATACATAAACGACATAGATATCGGCATAGACAGCAACATAAGTAAATTTGCTGATGACACTAAAATAGGACGTGTTATTAAATCTGACGAGGACTCGGCAAAACTACAGGAAGATCTAAACAAATTTTTCGAATGGTCTGAAAAATGGCAGATGAAATTCAACGTGGACAAATGTAAAGTACTCAGTATAGGAGATGTAAACAGGGAAACCAGATACCAGATGAACAATGATGCCATAGAGAAATCCGACTGCGAGAGAGATTTAGGAGTAATGATAAGTAGGAACCTTAAGCCAAGTAAACAATGTGTTTTTGCTCGTAACAAGGCTAATAAAGTACTTGGGTTCATACAAAGGAGTGTTAGTTACAAGACTAGTGAGGTCATCCTAAAACTGTATCTTGCTCTTGTGAGACCACACCTGGATTACGCAGTTCAGTTCTGGACACCGTATTACAGAATGGATATAGAATCATTGGAAAGAATTCAGAGGAGGATGAAAAGACTAATCCCGGGCATTAGGAACCTTGAGTATAGAGACAGGTTAAAGCATCTTAATTTGCACTCCCTCGAGAGACGTAGAGCGAGGGGCGACGTGATAGAGGTGTATAAGTGGAAGTCAGGGCTAAACAAAGGGCCATTACAAAGGTACTCAAACTATCCAACCAGGAGCGAACTCGTAACAATGGTTTTAAATTAGACAAATTTAGATTTAGGCATGAAATTGGTAAACACTGGTTTGGAAACAGAGTAGTGGATGAATGGAACAAGTTACCAAATATCATCATTAACTCGAATACACTGAATAGCTTCAAACATAGGTTGGATGCTTATATGAGCAATAGGGGTTGGGTGTAAACGGGACTGCCCAGTATGGGCCAATAGGCCCACTGCAGTTTCCTCCATTCTTATGTTCTTATGTCTCTTGATCATGGAGACAGCTGCCAGCCCGGTCTGTCGGGCCTTCCCCTCCCCCATCTCCGCCTTCCCATCTGGATTTATCAACATCCTCACACCAACAGTGCAGTGCAAAGATTGACGATCAACCCACGAGTGATATACAAAAGTGGCAATTTCAACTCGAAGGAAAAGCACAAAAACACAGCAATACTGAATGTGGCTGGATCTGACCTGACCTCACGGCTTCACCTGACCTAACCTGAAGGATGGAGCACACCTGCATTGCATCAAATTACCGTCCCATTAGTTTCACGTCAATCATAGGCAAGTTGCTAGAGTCAATTATTGCTACAAAAATCAGAAGCCACCTTGAAACATTCAACTTAATTCATTCTTCTCAGCACGGGTTCACCCAGGGACGTTCTTGTCTCACAAATTTGCTTAGCTTTTTCTCAGAAGTATATGAAGCGGTAGATAATGATAAGTCATATGATATAATTTATTTAGATTTCAGTAAAGCATTCGATAGAGTCCCTCATGAGAGATTGATAAGGAAGGTAGAAGCACATGGAATAGGTGGATCATTATTAAAATGGATTAGGTCATGGTTAACTGGTAGGAAACAAAGAGTCAGCATAAATGGATTAAAGTCAGACTGGGGTGCGGTCAAAAGCGGAGTTCCCCAGGGATCTGTATTAGGCCCTCTGCTGTTTGTTATATTCATTAATGATCTTGATTTAGGTATAACTAGTAGGATTAGTAAATTTGCAGATGATACCAAAATGGGGAGAGTGATAAATTCAGACAGTGACTTTGAACACCTTCAAAGAGATCTAGATACCTTACATGAGTGGTCAGTAGACTGGCAAATGAATTTTAATACTGATAAATGCAAGGTACTACAGATAGGGAAGACGAATACAAACGTTAAGTATAAACTAGGTAACACGGAAATAGAAAACTCAGATTGTGAAAAAGATCTAGGTGTATTTGTTAGCAACGACTTGAAACCTAGAAAACAATGTATTAGCGTTCGCAACAAGGCAAACAGGATTCTTGGGTTCATATCTAGGAGTGTGAGTAACAGAACTGCTGACGTTATCTTGAAACTTTACCTAGCATTAGTGAGGCCACACATGGATTATGCGGTTCAATTCTGGTGTCCTTATTATAGAATGGACATAGATTCTTTGGAGAGAGTACAAAGAAGAATGACAAAAATGATCCATAATATTAGAAACCTTCCATATGAAGAAAGACTGAAAAGCTTAGGCTTGCATTCATTAGAGAGGCGTAGAGTTAGGGGAGATATGATGGGTGTTCAAGTGGGTAAGTGGGATTAACAAGGAAAATGGAAGATGTTCTAACTCAGTAATAACGATAACTAGAACAAATATTAGATAAATTCCGAGATATAGGCAAGCACTGGTTTGTAGGATCGAGTGCTAGGGAGCTTCAAGACGAAGTTGGATAGGCACATGGAAGTGCTGGGATGGGTGTGAAAGGGATCTGCACTGTATGGGCCAGTCGGCCTCCTGCAGTATCCCACTTTCTTATGTTCTTATGTACTGTCCTGGCCACGTGGCCACACACCTGTCCAAACGCATCCAGCCCATAGGAGCACGAACTGATTGCTACAAGAACAGCCCAGTCCTAACCATTGTAAAAATTATCAACACCTAATTATTATATATCATATTTGTATCACTTATGTTACTTGTACATCATTTGTAAATCAAGAGAACCATTCCCCAATTATGTAATTGTATATTTTCAGCCTTCCGGCTGTCATGCTCTTTCAATAAAACGTTAATTATTATTATTATTATATATATTTTTATTCATAAATTTTACAAATTACATATATACTGTATACATTTTACATATTGACATATTTGTAAGTGAAATATTTTGATAACTTTTCTTTTAAAATACACTTGATCATCCATTTATTATAATATATCCTGCCTTTAATAAAGGCTATAGTCTCCTTAACATTATAATTTTCTTTTCTACTTAACCACATACAGAAAATATAATCTGACATTAGCATGATCATTGTATTCTTATCCTTATTATCACTACAGTTAATATTAAACATTATAACTAAGGCTGGACAAGGCCCCTAAGTCAAAAGAATAGAAAGAGCGCGATTAGCCGAGCCAATAAGTAAGATGTCTGGACACATGAAGACTCTAGACCCTGGAGACAGCCGGCACTGGAGAATGTTTGAGACATCCATCAACCAATATAGAGTATTTACATTATGTAATGGAAGTGGGACTGTGAATGAATGTTCCTGGGTCTGTGTCTGCTTATAAAACCTCGTATGGGCGTGGCTTGTCGATGACGTGACTTGATTATGATATATGATAGTTGTGTAAGATGATGTGAGGTAGAATATCCTCTACATATATTTTACTTCTGCTTCCATAACAAAGAGATAATTAAATGGTTTAAAAATTTCTTGAATACAGTCTGCAATGTCAATAGCAAATTATTTCTGCATTTTTTAATGTTAAATATTAACTGTAGTAATAAGAAGGATACGAATACAATGATCATGCTTATGTTAGATTATATTTACTGGATGTGGCTAAGTAGAAAGGGATTATCAAGTATTTTAAAAGAAAGCCATCAAAATATTTCACGGACAAATAAATTGAATATGTAATATTTATATATGTAAATTAATTTTTTTTAAAGAGATAAACATTTCTGCCACGTAGATCAGGCGATGTGAGGGGAGGGGGGGGGGATCGTTTCAACGACCGACTAGTACGCCAAGGTGACAGCTTTCACACGGTGCTAACCTGCCCGGGGAAATATTCTTGTCGTTATTGTCTCAGTACTTGAGTCATGAACATTAATTTTGAAAGGCATCCATTATTTCATGTTTCCTTCAAGAATGTGGAATACATCTACATATTTGATGTTCTTTGAGGTGAACATTGCATTTTATTTATTTTGAATCAATGTTGCAACTTGCATTTGTGGTGAGAAGTTCGTCAGCGACACTGATGGCATCGTGTTTCTCCATGTTCGCAGAGCGTGAAGTCCTCTACTGTCAAGACAATGGCGCCGGCATCCACCTCGTCCATCACACCTGACGATGATGGAGCAAAACTGAAGGTGCGAGCGAGGGACATTTTTAGCACCTCACATGGCACGCAAGATGGTATGGAAATTCGAAAAATGATGATGGAGGTGGAGCACAAGAGTGTTGAGGACAAGGTGCAGAAGATGTCTCTCGGCCAAAAGACCAACAGGCCGACCAAAGTGATACTGATGGTGGGTGCTACAGGTACCGGTAAGACAACTCTCATCAATGCCATGGTCAACTTCATATACCGTGTTGAGTTCACTGACAAGTTCAGACTTGTGTTGATTGACGACAAAAATGCCCCAAAGCGTTCTCAGGCGGAGAGTCAAACAGATATGATCACAGCTTATGCATTCTACCAGTTACCTGGTATGCCCTTTGAGTACAACTATGTGCTGATTGATACTCCAGGCTTTGGGGACACAAGAGGAATTCAGCGTGACCGTGAAATGATGAGTCAACTAGAATCATTTCTGAAACAAGATTATGGCATTGATCAAGTAGATGGAGTTGGCTTTGTTACCCCTGCCTCTGCTGCTCGCTTAACACAGACACAGAGATACGTCTATGATGGCCTGTCATCTATGTTTGGTAAGGATATTAAAGACAACATTTATGTTATGGCTACGTTTGCTGATGCCAAGACTCCTCCAGTTCTTGACGCTCTCAAGGAAGCTGGTGTTCACTACTCTGGGTTCTATAAGTTCAACAACAGCGCACTGTATGCCTGTAACGCAACTGCTGATAATGATACTGATGACTCAGACTCGGATGATGAAGATTCGGCTTATATCTGCAAGTTGTTCTGGGAGATGGGGTACCGGAGCCTGCAGAACTTCTTTTTGAAGTTGGGGAAAACCTCTCCAGCAAGTCTAACACTTACCAAACAGGTGCTTGAGGAGCGAAGTCGTCTACAGTTAGTGGTAATTGGTTTGCAGAATCAGATTCACTTGGGTCTGGGAAAGCTTTCAAACTTGAACCAGGAGAGAGATATGTTGGCTCGTCTTGACGATGACATGAAAGGGAGTGCAAATTATGAGGAGGAAGTTGACGTTCCTAAGATTACTAAGATTGACTTGAATCCAAAAGAATATGTAACCAATTGTATCAAATGTAACATGACGTGTCATTATCCGTGTTATATTCCTGATGATGACAACAAGGCTAATTGTTGGGCCATAACAGATGGTAATTGTAGAATCTGTCCTGATAAGTGCTTCTGGGACCTCCATAAGAACATGAGCTTCAGGTACGAGCACACCTCGGTAAAGGAAACGCGCACTGTGCAGGAACTGCTGGACCGTTATCAGAAAGCTGAAGCGGACAAACTTACTAAGGAAGGTGCAATTCAAGCCATAGAGCAAGATATCAATGACCACGCTCAAATGCTTATTGACTTGATACAGGAGGCTCAGAGACACGTGGAAAGACTCGAAGAAATTGCCCTGAAGCCCAACCCACTGTCAACCAAAGAATACATTGACCTAATGATCGAGTCTGAAAAGATGCAGAAACGCCACAACTTTATGAAAAGGATTGAAATGTTGGAGAAATTGAAGGAAGAGGTGGTGGTAATCCAAGGAGTGCGTGGCGACTGTAACAAAGCATCTGGTGAATCGTTGCTGAAATATTTCCACGACCTTCTAGTGGAGTGATGAAATAAAATGTATTCATCTCTTATGACGTTTTGTATAATGTTAGTTAATGTCTACAGTGTAGTTTAGGTACACCTCTCATTCATCTTCATGTTGGAAGTTATTGAACTGTTGAAGTAATATAATCAGAAAAAATGTTATTGATTATAATCAAAATTATTTTTATTTTAAAGAAAATAATCTAAAAAAATATATACAGTAATTATATTATTTAGTGTACTATCACTATTTATCATCCAAAAATCTATAACAATACAGATAGACAGTCACAGCACAATTACTTTTTTGTCATTCTTTATATAATATTCATGTGTGACAGATGAAGTTATTTTTGTACTCAGTCAGCATTATTACCTCACTAAATTAGGTGTATTTAAGTGGCTACTGTGGCTTTACTAATGTTTCTTCTTAATATAACTTAGTTGGTAACTTCCCAGAGCCATATCAGTTGGTTAAAGTTACTGGGTGAATTTACTCATTTGGTCATGGTCTGTGTTTGTGTACCTACCTGCTCAGTCTGCATTATTATTATATACCTTACTGAATTATGTGTATTTATTGGTTACTTTATGACTTATACTGTATGAACAAAATGTAATATTTATTTTATATAAATATAGAAGCATTTACTTCCTAATTCTGGAAATCATAAGTATTATTTCTTATTATATTATGTTCATACAGATTTAAGTTTTTGGATTCTATGTGTATTTCATAATCATGCTATATGTAGGTTCCTGCATCTTAGTGTATTTTTACAACAATAATGTTTATTTTAAAATAGTCATAGGTATATTTTTTTGTTTTTATTTTAGGAAAATTATTTTTAGTAACAGTATACTGCAGTTACTATGTGTAGCTATATGTAGGTTCCTGCATCTTAGTGTATTTTTACAACAATAATGTTTATTTTAAAATAGTCATAGGTATATTTTTTTGTTTTTATTTTAGGAAAATTATTTTTAGTAACAGTATACTGCAGTTACAAGAAATTTGATTAAATTTCATTATTATATACAAATTCAGTAAATGATAAGTTTTTCAATCAAGTGAATAATAACCTTTCATAAAGATAGTTGGGCCAAATTATATCCACAGAAAAAAAAAGAAAATTTTCATATAACATACAGTATAATTTAATGACTTTAAACATACTACATAGAAAAAAGGCCATCACTATTGTATAAAAGAATGAAATGTGAATAATTGGGTAAAAAACAACCCGATTATTTTGATTTTTATTAAAACTTATTTTTCCCAACTCTGTCTTGTGAGCAAATGTCGGCACCCGCTATTGTCAGTCTTCCTTCACTTGTGATTTATATTTTGAAACTTGTGTTAGAGTGATCACCAATTAGGAGATTATCGTGTTTACCTTTGGGGGGAAAGGGCCTTATTGTAATTAGTATCCTTCGAGATAAAACTTGTAATTACTCATGTAATGGTGCCTGTGTGTTTGGTTGTTTACAAATATGCCTTGTAATTTATGCTATTTGTATATACTGTATAGTTGGTGGTAAGAGTCAACTTCTGTTTACATCAAATAAAAGAAAGCGAAACATTTATGTCTCTTAATATAAACCTTTACCACATACTGTACAGTGTAGATGGGTATAATGAACGACTACCATACAGTGTAGATGGGTATAATGAACGACTACCGTACAGTGTAGATGGGTATAATGAACGACTACCGTACAGTGTAGATGGGTATAATGAACGACTACCATACAGTGTAGATGGGTATAATGAACGACTACCATACAGTGCAGATGGGTATAATGAACGTCTACCATACAGAGTAGATGGGTATAATGAACGTCTTTTACCGCATACAATATAGCTATTGCACTACAGAACACCCCTACGACAACTGTCAGCCTATCCCAGTTGTGCCTCGGCCTATCCCAGTTGTGCCTCAGCCTATCCCAGTTGTGTCTCAGCCTATCCCAGTTGTGCCTCAGCCTATCCCAGTTGTGTCTCAGCCTATCCCAGTTATGATTCAGCCTATCAGGAGCATCTACCGTCAATGAGAAGTTTAATAAATCGTAATAAAAGTAAAGAAAAAATAAATACCCGTAAGCAGTGATGAGAACTTACCAACACGAGAAAATAATTTGGTTAATATTTTTAAGAATAGTATATCAAATATAAACACGCTATCCTCACTTGCGTATACCAAGTTCACATAAGGTGCGTGACATGATAGTTTTATAAACAAATAATCATTCTTGCCAACAACTATACAGGTACAATCGTGTGAAAATAACTGGACTTCTCAATATGGATGTTTAGTCAGTTGCTGCGTTGATCTCTGGGCTATGGCAAGACTATTTATTGGCAATCTGTTGTGTTGTGTACGCATCTTGTAGGTGTGTAACATGATAGCTTGTTTGGTCGTGTCATGCATGATTACACCCCTTGCAATCTGTCCCCAGCCAGGGATTGAACACAAGGCGAGAAATAAATGTGTTACCGCTTTACCTTTTGATGTTTTCAGTCTTAGAGGTTGTGTAATTGGGCAGATATTTCATAAAGTGCATCATTTTGACCACAAAGGCCTTGTCGCGAAAAGTATCGCGATATCTGTCCATACAATTGTAAATATTTCTTGACACGAAGTATTAGAATACTAAGTTGTGTATAACATTGTAACCCTAGTTATTCAGATCGAGCTAACAAAGTAAAATTTTAAATGTGCCGCCCGAAATGGCTAGGAAAACGGGAAAACAAAAAACGGTGAAACAACGACTTGCTTAATTAGCAAATGTAATAAAAATCTAATTTGTAAAGAATTAATAAGTTTGCCGAATATAAACAATTATAATTTATAGTTAAGGAGATAAGTCAAATTAGGCATGACATTTTCCCCGCGAAAATATAGATTAGATTAGATTGCCCTCGAGGTGGCTAGTTTATTGGGCACCCCCTTACACCCTGTGCAAGGTGAAGCGTTTACAGCGCCCATCTGGGAAGTATGCTAAGTTCATGCTTGCCTTTATGACTCATGCATTAAGGGCGTAGAAGCCTGAAGGGTCATAGGTTTTGTCAGCAAGTTACATAAAGCGACAGAATGATGAGTGTGTGTGTGGGGGGGAACGCACAAATATAGTGGGGATTAGGAGAGTTGCACCGCGCCATGGGTGAATGACCGACCGGATCGTCTAATTCTTAACTACTGTATATTCTAGTAACTTCTATCAACTAATTATACTCACCATGTAAGTCTATAAGTGCATCTCAAACTTATTGTAGAAATGACGTAATTGGGTTGATATTTATAAATGCCAACATATACGTACAGTATATATTGCGTCTTATGTAGGGAGAAAAGGAAAACAATAAAAATAATTTATTCTACAACGTTTCCGTCAGAAATTTATATTAGTTTTTCAGAGTAGGCAGGGCTTTGAAAACCTTACCTTACCTTTCATTACTTGTACATCAAATGTTAAGAATCACTTTCGAGTAACCATGGGAGGTGCAGTCCTACCACCAAGGTGTACTGTATGTGTAAATCATCAAACACTTTATTAATTACCATCAACTTACTGATATTTGAATCGACCACAGAATTTGTCAATACTAAACTACATTATGTTGACTTCTGTGTAAACAAATGTACCGGATAAGATAAATTTCACTTATGGAACGTCACTATCTAATGTCCACCAATCACATTATTACATACGACCTTATTTCACCATGTGTTGCCAGGTAAAATTGTGAGTACGAGAGCCAGGGTGGGGTGGAGGCATCTTTGGTTGACTGTACATCAGTAACTAATTATATATTATTATTATTACGCGACTCATTCATCTTTAATTTGCATATAATAAAACCACATACTTGACAGGTATTGGCGTACCTTCCTGGATGGTTCTGACAACACAACTAGTCATCAGACTGCGGTACACTTGTCATACTGGAGCTGCACTCGAGTGACACAGCTGAACATGACTTCCTCCTCAACCATGGCAACGTAAGTGTACCCAACCCTCTCTCTTGTTACCTTCATCACAGTACACTTGATGCTTCCCAACAAAGACGTAGAATGTCCGAAGATAGGTTACGCGTCACGTCACACATCAACTGATGGTTTGTTTATGGATGCCTCCACTATCTGTACTACGACTTTCCACCATATACAGATCAATGTTCTTCACTTGGGGTCAGACATGGAAGAAAATGTCCAGGTAATCTTATTTCAATGCTTCTCAATGAATAAACACGAGCATAAATTGTAGAACAGAAATTAGTGCGAGATCTACAGTGTTAGAGGATTGGGTGCGGGGGAGCAAAGGGGAAACAGTTTGTTCGAATTGACCAAATGGCTGGTGTCTGTTAACTGAATGTTCCCTCATGTCTTCGTGACAATCGTAAACCAGTAAAAACTTAGAATTTAAAATTTGAAAAAAAAAGAGAAGTGGAGTTGGGCAGTTTTTTGCATCTTGTTATTGAGTAATTATTGTTTCTTTTAGTCGATTTACAATTTGTAATAGTCTAGTTAATAACGATGAAAACCTGAATAAAGATTACACAAGAAAGCTCAATGTGTCATCTGGTTTGTCGAGTCGAGATCAGTGACAACTGTTGAACGGAATTACCGCCGTCAATATAGAAAGGTTCCTCCCTCCAAACCCAGCATTAGGTGGCGACTTCACAAGTTTTGGGAGACAGGAAGTGTGATGGACTCGCCTTGAAGAGGACGTCCAGGTGTTTCTGAAGATACCGTTGCTAATGTCCAAGAGACATTCCAACACAGCCCCTGAAAAACTACTCGTCGTGCCTCAAGTGAACTGCAGCTAGATCAACTGTACAGCCTCACACAAGAAATTGCACCTTTTCATGTCTAAACTGTAAATAATCCAAGCTTTGCAATGTAATGGAAAGCTTCAGTGCTGAGTTTGCATGTTCCATACTGAACGTGAATGATGAAGAGAAGCTCCTAAAAAAGTGTTCTCTGATGAAGCCACCTTTCATGCCTGGACGAGTTAACCGCCATAATGTGCGAACATGGTGAACTAAAAACCCTAATACTGCAGGTTTCGTGAACACATTCGTTATAGCCCAAAATTTCATGTTTGGTGTGGACTCTTGCACGATAGGGTGATACAGTCCTGTTACGGATTATCAAAACCTATAGTTAACAGTATGTTGTCTTTATATATAACACATCCAATGATTACTTTATAAATTAGGCAGGATGTTAACCAGAAGTCTCAACCGTAGACAAGGTATAGTGTAAGCAAGTTAATGGTACTGTAGTTAATTAAGTAGTTATCTATTATGGTATAGGGTTGTTAAAACGAATTGAAATATTTTTTATTACACTTATATACAAAATAATAATCAAAGGACCTAGAAGCAGGTTCAGGACTCAACACGCGTGTCTTTACTAAATTATCACGCAAGTACATGCAGGCTCGACATTAATTAATCACTTATAAGAATTACTGAAGAGGTTTTTACATTTTAGGGCCAAAACCACATACGTCTTTATTAGTAAGTTTGCCTCGTTAATAGTGCGTATTCACTAGTTACTAAGATCGGCGTTTCACATCAGCTAGGGAGCTTTTAGATTTACCTATTTCCATACTGGTGTAACTAAGGCTGAACAAACCTAAGACGAAATATAAGAAGTATTAAGACTTGGCGTGACAGATAAGCCGATAAGTTGTTTGGACACAGGAGGACTTGTACGTAGGCCAGCAGACAAACAGCACGTGAACCAAAGGAAATCTATATTAAGTTTGAGGGATCAGGAAGTGAAGATGCTCCCGAGTTGTGTATGGCTTTCTGTCAGCCCGTATTGGGGCGTCACTGTGGTGACGTCACTTCGATTCTATTTGATGAGTGGTTGATAATTTCCCGCCACGCAACACCTGGCGAGGAGGGGGTAGCAGCAACGATTACTCGCTCCTAGAGTGTCACTCACATGTAGCCTCGTGTGTTCAAGAAATTTCCATGGCGTTATTGTTTCGATACAGAGTCCCATTTTTCTTTGCTGAGCAGAATATCACAGTAGGTGTACATATTGACATGCTGGTTCCCCAGTTGGAAGTTATGACCATTTGTTATTTATGTTTGATTTTGCGAAATTTCCTTGAAGAAAATTTCGCTGGAAGATTTACGGACATGGTGAGCAAGTCTGCTGGCCCCCGTGGTCTCCTGATATTGACCCCTTCAGTACATATGTCATCTCAGAAGAGAAAGTATACAAAGTATATACGGTATACCAAACAAACACCCGCTTCTTCCTTCACTCTGTTATTATGTCAGTTTATGTGTAGCTCAATAACGTATATTTCACTTCATATAATATCTATCGTCTTTGTATTCAAGTTCATAATAACTTATAAATAATATTGTTAAATATTATTCTAATAAACAAAATTTTTTAACAAGAGACAAAATATTCGATAAGTCAACGTAAAAGTGATTTTTTTTCTTTTTTTAGACAACCAGAAAGAGAGGAGGTATATGCACTAAACAGCGACGTAACACCAGGATGGATTTACGATAAAGTAGAAAGGAAGCTCATCCCTCCACACGACTACCACCACACCAGCACCCAGCTGTGTCCTCCCAGATATAAGTTTTTTACATTGAAAAAGGAACTTATTGATGATGTATTGAAGAAACATGAAGTTTACCAACAAAGAAGATGGGTGCGGGAGTACAATAATATGAAGGGTGAAGATGGAGATGTAATTCTTTTGGAGGGAAGTAAAATAGTAGAGCATAAAGGATGTGATATTCAACCCCACAATGAGGACCACATTGTGAGCTCAGTTAACTATAGGTATTGTGCCGATATGCTTGTGCATTTTTCTTGCAACATAAACGATCTTGTAGTGTATGACTTGAGACAATATCTCCTTGATGTGGTCAGTGGTGTCGCGGTCAGCCGTATTCCAAGAGAAGTTTGTTCAGCCTTCACACACGCCTACATCTATCCAGAAGGAGAGGATGGACGTAAGGTTACAGGCAGTAAACACGGCTGGCAGGAATTTTGTCGCCTTTTGATGGAATCTGAGCCCAGCAAATATCCGTTTACTGCATCCCTGTTGGCGCCTGTTTCATGCACCTCAGTTGCATCAACTTATGCCTCTGTTGTGAGGACAACAGTCTGGAGCAACTCTACAAATATTTCTAGCACTACTCAGAAGCAAGACGTGAGTCAGTCTAGTTGCGCAATTAGTTCAACAAACGATGTGATTGACATAAAAACAACCATTAAATTTGAATCAAATAAACCAAAGATACAAGTCCTTGTAAGTGAGAACAACTTTGATTGTGGAGGACATAGTGTCATTGTTAACATCCGGGACGGGAAGATGGCAAGCACCACCTCGTCGGCTGAGAATCTGCCACTTCACGATCACGGTGATAGCAACAGCTGCTTAGCAACGAGTAAACAACTTTTACCAACTGAAGGACGACAGGAGAGTGGGAACGAAGGTACATCAGGCAAGGCACAGGAAGAAACATGCTCGAGCAGCAACCTCTACCCGAATTTAAAGAGAATATTTGTTTCTGATGATACAGAGGTTTGTGAAGATGAAGTGCGGGCAGAAAAGAGATCAAGCGATCTTGTTACTGTTGAGGCAGAGCAAGATATACACGTGGAGGAAAGTTCAAGAGGAAAAAACGACATTCAGGAAGTATTGTGTACGTCTGAGAAAGATGAGGAGGGAGAGAGTTCAGGTTCTCCCAGTGCCAAGGTTCTTGTGAATGAACCGCGGTTATCATTTGAGGAAACGCGTGGCTCTGAAGTAGGCAGTTCAACGACCAAAGATTTATCTGAAGGAACATTTCAGGGATTCAGAAAAGAAAGTGTTTCTGAAGATGAAGGGAATATCACTCCGTTGTCAGGTTACCTGAAGCCACTGGAGGAAGGTTATGAGGCGTGTGGAATGACGAGAAAATACTACGGCGTTCACTCTGACAAGACACACAAAACCATAATTCTTCTCGGAGCTTCAGGAAGTGGCAAGACCACTCTGGTGAATTTTGTTGCGAATTACTTCAGAGGTGTTAAGAGTGCTGGTGGTGAATTAGTACATGTAATAAGAAGCTCAAATGACGTAAAATCACGCACCACATCCATAACTGCCTATACGTTCTGTGATGGAGAAGAGGACGTTCCTATCACCGTCATAGACACTCCTGGACTAAACGATTCCTCGGGGGCGGAGGTGAGAGATCATGTCCAGTCCCTCAAAACCTTCCTAGCAAATGCTGCCTCCCAAAATTACGAGATCCATGCCATTGGTTTTGTGGCACAAGCTCACCTGGTACGCCTAACCTCGTCAGAACGACTTGTTATGGATTATGTGTCGACACTGTTTGGTGAGGACATAACAGATCACTTCATCACGTTTGTCACATTTGCAGACAGTCAGGAAACGCCGCCGGTTGTGGAAGCCATGAAAAACTATGGTGTACGTTGTAACCTTTTTTTGAAATTTAACAATTCTGCTATTAGTACTGACAAAAATAATGAAATTGATGCGCTGGACATTGCTTATTGGAAACTTGGGAGGAAGAACTGGAAGAAATGTTTGAAATCTCTGCAGAGTCTTCCCGCTCTCTCTGTCAACACCATGAAAGCCCTTCAGAATGAAATGTATACAACAACAGTCATAGAATCTACCGAGCGAGATTTGAGAGCTGAACTAAAGACATACATTAACTACATCAAGAACTTAAAACAAAACCTAAAACAAGTTCTTCATACAGGGGAACAAGTTTGGGAGTTAACAGCGGCTCTCAAATGTTTAAAATCAATTGAAATATCTTACCCCTTAAAGACTGAGTCTATTTTGACACAGTTTGCTGAAGAAGTATGCAAGGAAAAAGGTTATGACCCCCTGAACTGCATCCACCTACTCTCTCTTACCCCCTCAAGAAAGTTACTAAAAGCCGGAGTAGGCGTCCTCCGGAGTATGGCGCCTCTCTACAAGTTTGTTGACGACAGTTGCCGCAGTAAAACGACAACCAACAGTAAACATGTGCGGGAAGTTTTATATTGTGTTGATTGTAAAGAAGATCATATATTGGGAAGACCAAAGCCTGGTCTAATGTCTTCTATGCCTGTAGTTGGATCAGATCCTTCATTGATCACCTACAAGTGTACACAGTGTCCCTGTGATGGCATTAAACATTTAATTAGATCACAAGATCAGGATCCCTCACAATCTTCTGCTGTTAGTGTGAACAAGGTGTTGGACCTCACGAAAAGCTCTTTGACTAAAGTTATGTCACAATTCTCCATTCCAGAATATCCAGTAAATGTACAATACTTTTTAAATTACATTATTGATTTTACAAGTTATGACTTTACTGTATTCATTAAGAACCTTCAGAAAATGATCAAATAACGCTAAATGAATTTGATTTGTCAACCAGTAAGATTAAAGTTGTTTTAAACACTGGGTAACCAAAACTAAGTTGCCAGTTATATGTTACACGAACAAAACTATAACTTAAAAAATAGAAAGGTTACGTCAAGTCAGGTCAGGTTATATGTATTGGGATAATATACCTGTACATGATTGTCTATGGCAGTCAGAAGTGTATAGAAAGAAGAAATGCATAAATGTTATTGCTAACCGAGACTAACCTTATACAGTATAGTGTAACATGTGACGCATCCATCTAACAAATGATGGAACTCCGTTATATCAAGGGTCCCTTAGATGTGAAACCCCCCATCTAACGGATAAAATGGAGAGAGAAGTCCGTTACACATAGAGGATTCACTGTAACTTGGATTACAGTAATATGCTGGATGTTTTATGTCTCACTGTAATGTTATTTTTTAGAGATGATTCCTATATTTACCATCCAGCACAGTAGATAATGATATGTGATGTATTTTTTTTTTTGGTCATGGATTTCCTAACGTTTTTTTTTTTATTGTCTATAAAACAATGTTAAAATTAGTGTTATAGGAGACATCAAATTATCGGAGATGTCAAATTATAGATATAGATATCACAAGATTATAGAGGTTAATTAAGGGTATTTTAATGTGTTTTAGTTTGAGATTTTGTTTCATTGGTTTTATTACATGAGGTGTCTTAATAGCTCCTCGAGTTATTGAGGAAAAGTGATGGGGGACTTAAGTCATAATCACTTAAGCATTTTCTCTACAATAATCCCGAGACTAGCATGTATAAAAGTTGATTATAACTTTTTTTAAGAGTTTGCACCAGTTGTCTCTTGTATGAAAACTTTACTAATAAACCAGTATTAACCATTATTAATTTTCATATTATTACGAATGTCAGTTTCAGAAAATTAATAAAAACTTTGTATATATTAAGGATAGTAATCATCTTATATTGTCAGTGTTCATTGTGGATAATGTATGTGTATATATATATATATATATATATATATATATATATATATATATATATATATATATATATGCTCCTATTCACATCTTCAGGGGTGAGTACAGTGTGTACTCACCCCTGAAGATGTGAATTACACGAAAGCGCTTGGGAACTGTGTTTTCTTGTTTCCTTGTGGTTATCAGCATATACCTGGATCACGTGCACCCACAGTGATATATATATATATATATATATATATATATATATATATATATATATATATATATATATATATATATATATATATATATATATATATATATATATCGGAGTGAGTAATTTTATTGTTCAGATGTTAATGCATAACCCAAACTGTTAATAATTATGTATTTTCATTCATTTTGTTTACTTCTGAGAACAACTACGACTAAATGTGTCGATTCATTGAGAATGAAGAATAAAGGTCCAGGAATAATATCAGAAGTGAACAACACATCCTGTAATATACTACAATAAAGTAATTGTAACATACATGTTATGTAATATGCCTCGGGAAATGACTGAAGCCATTATTAGTTTGGAAAGAATAAATGTTGAAATAGAGGAACAGCCCCACTCAAACCAAAACGGCCCCACCCTGTGACCAAAACAGCCTAACTCTAACCTAACCTAACCAAAACTGAGCATGATAGCAGCCATGTTGACAGTCTGAGTGGGGCCGTTCTGGTTTGGGCCGTTTTCTCCTGTTACCGTCTAAAACATCTTTCAATATTAGGGCTACGAGGAGGATGGGGAACATAACAGATACCTTGAGTCACAAGAACAAGCATATACCCCAACACTTTCCTACCACGATGATCTGAAGTTGGAAGTATTCGGTTTATCTATGTATTATACAACGGCTTCCTGCCACACTCACGTCTCTCTGGGTCTCTTCTTCAACATCACTTCCTCACAAGTTGATAAAGATTTGATATAAAGAGAGGGAAGGATAATGATTAACTAGGTACCTGTAGTATCAAGCCTGTTAGTAGCACGACCAGGTGCTGGTCAACTAGGTGTCAGTATCAACCAGGTGCTAGTCTCAACCAGGTGTCGGTATCAACCAGATGTTAGTCAACCAGGTGTCGGTACCAACCAGATATTAGTCAACCAGGTGTCGGTATCAACCAGATGTTAGTCAACCAGGTGTCGGTACCAACCAGATGTTAGTCAACCAGGTGTCGGTATCAACCAGATATTAGTCAACCAGGTGTCGGTATCAACCAGATGTTAGTCAACCAGGTGTCGGTACCAACCAGATGTTAGTCCAGGTGTCATCAACCAGATATTAGTCAACCAGGTGTCGGTATCAACCAGATGTTAGTCAACCAGGTGTCGGTATCAACCAGATGTTAGTCAACCAGGTGTCGGTATCAACCAGATATTAGTCAACCAGGTGTCGGTATCAACCAGATGTTAGTCAACCAGGTGTCGGTATCAACCAGATGTTAGTCAACCAACCAGATGTGTCGGTATCAACCAGATGTTAGTCAACCAGGTGTCGGTACCAACCAGATTAGTCAACCAGGTGTCGGTATCAACCAGGTGTCGGTATCAACCAGATGTTAGTCAACCAGGTGTCGGTATCAACCAGATGTTAGTCAACCAGGTGTCGGTACCAACCAGATATTAGTCAACCAGGTGTCGGTATCAACCAGATGTTAGTCAACCAGGTGTCGGTATCAACCAGATGTTAGTCAACCAGGTGTCGGTACCAACCAGATATTAGTCAACCAGGTGTCGGTATCAACCAGATGTTAGTCAACCAGGTGTCGGTATCAACCAGATGTTAGTCAACCAGGTGTCGGTATCAACCAGATGTTAGTCAACCTGGTGTCGGTATCAACCAGATGTTAGTCAACCAGGTGTCGGTATCAACCAGATGTTAGTCAACCAGGTGTCGGTATCAACCAGATGTTAGTCAACCAGGTGTCGGTATCAACCAGATATTAGTCAACCAGGTGTCGGTATCAACCAGTCTCCCCTCATGATTTAATCTCCCTCCCGGGGATAATCTCTCTCTACAGTATCAATCTATGGCATCCTGGCGTCATGTTGTGTAGGCCTTTCTGTACACATTGTGCATTTTTCTCCTTCCTTTGAGGACCAAGACCCTTATGCCTTAGAAAGATAAACATCTTGTAGTGTAGGTCTATCATACTTGCATGTTAAATTAATCTATTCTTTTTAGCCACGAAGACCTGGAAGAAATCGATGTACAAGTGAAGGAGGTGTTCCCTGGGTGGATTTACTGCGCCTCAGCCAAAGAGTTCTACCGCCATGACAGTATACTGAAGGTTGAAACTCAAAAACGTATCTTCTACACTCTAAGAACCTGGCATGGAAAGGACTTAAGTGATTTAAAACAAGATGAAGCACATCAAGACAGACGTTGGGTAAAAGACATAGGCATACTAGATTGTAAGAACATTCTTCTTGTTCAGGGAAGTAAAGTCCTCGAGGAGGAAGGTAGAAACATTATCCCAGACTGTTTTAAACATACTGTGAGTTCAGTTAGCCGTAAATACAATGCTCACATGTTGATGTTTTTCTCAGAGCATATAGAGGATGATGATATAGCTAGAATGGAGACTTCTCTTTTAAATGTATTATTTAAAAATTCTAAGTTTGTTGTCCCCCCAAAAACGGCGACAAATTTTAAACAGGCACATGTGTATAGCAGTGATAATGATACAGTTTCCCCAGTTACCAAGACATCAGCCAAGAAAAGTGGAGACGACTTCTGCCATATACTTAAGAATTCCAAGGTTTCTGACACCCCTTACTCTGTACGTCTCATGAAACCCATTATAATGGCTACAGGTGACCCATTAGGAGCTGGTGTTAAAGTGACAGAAAAAGCGGTAAATGCTGCTACAATTACTGTCGGAAATCAGAACTTGGAACTTCAAAACTCAAGATTTAAGGCTGATGAAGATGTTAGTCAACAAACAAATATAAAGCAATCAAACGTTAGCTCCAGAAGTTCTCCAAAGATTCCAGAACTAGGACAACAAACTCAGGCTTCTGTACACCCTCAGCTGACACAGAGTAACACACCCTCAGCCAGTAGCCACCGCACAGATGATGTACAAGAACTGTACTCTTGGTCAACTGCTGAAGATCATTCATATCCTGATACTATTAACAACCCATATTCATTAGGTAAAGATCCTTGTAGAAGTCTGCGAGAACCCATGAGTGAAAATACAGTTGGCGATTTGCCAGAGACCAGTAGCCCAAACTCTCAGAATAACAATAAAAACTTACAGACAACTTCACATATACATATAGATAAACGACAAAATTCTGGTAAAGTAGAAGAATATTCCACAGTTTCCAGACTAGTGACAAATAAAAGAAAACTGGACGATTATGCACAGTCACACACCACAGCCACCAGACCAACTTCAAGTAAACATCTCGACAATGAGTCTAGAATCCTTCAACCAATTAAATCACTCTCAGATATATGTGGTATGACGAGGAAATATTTTGGTGTCGTCAGTTCCAAAGAGAAAGAAAAGGTTATCTTCCTCGTTGGAGCTTCTGGTAGCGGGAAAACCACGCTTGTCAACTTCATTGCCAGCTGCATCAAAAATGCCAAAAGTCCATCTGATGACTTGGTTTATGTAGAGCCAAATTCAAAGGATGCATACTTCCGTACAACATCTATTACTGCATATACATTTTGCTTCATGGAAAGTGAGACTCCTATAACTATCATTGATACTCCAGGTTTACACGACTCCTCGGGGCCACAAGTGGATGATCAGGTTCACTTACTTAAAACCTTCATCGGAAATGCTGCCTCAAACGGTCTTGATATCCATGCTGTTGGTTTTGTAGCTCGGGCTCATGAAGTGCGTCTTACCTCTTCAGAACGCCTCCTTATGGACTATTTGTCAACACAGTTTGGCCAGCGAGTTGCTCATCACTTGATCCCTTTTATCACATTTATTGACAACCAGAAGGTTCCTCCAGTCGTCGAGGCAATGAGGTCCTATGGAATAGAATCCAAGTCCTTCTTAAAATTCAATAATTCTATGTTCAATAGAAATCCAGGGCAAGAAATTGACGAATTGGACATGATGTGCTGGAAGATTGGGAACAAGAGCTGGAAGAAGTGTGACATGATCTTGCGAGAGCTGTCACCTCTCTCTGTTAATACTTTTAAAGCCTCACAAAATGCAGCTTATGCCACAACAGTAATGGACTCGGCTGTGAGTGATCTGAAAGCTGAACTGAAGAAGTTCATAATTTCTTGTCAGAATTCTAAATGTATGACTAAAGAAACATTTGAGAGCTGTGAACAAGTATGGGGGTTTGCCTCAGTTTTGCATCACCTAAAAAGTGCTCAAGAGTCCGGCGTGTCTAGTGTAGAGAGCATCTTAACAACTTGTGCAGATGAAGTATGTCAGGAAAATGCTTCCCTCTCTAAACAATGGGTCGAGCTTCTTTTACTGGCTCCCTCAAGAGGTCTTCTGGGTGCAGGAATGGCGGCCATAGACAGCCTTGGACATTTTTATAACCCGGCGAAGAAATTTTCTCAGTCTAAAGACGAAACTAAGAAGTATCCTGAAATTCTTTTCTGTATTAAATGTCGGACAAATCATGAGACAGAAAGAGTAGAACCAACGAGCTCCTTTTCTAGCTTCTCGTCAGGTAAAGGTACCATTACTTACAAATGTAAAAAATGTAGGTGTAATGCGAGTGAACATGTTACTGACATTAACAAGAAGTCTCGGGCATCAGTTCACCTTCCCCCAGAACATATACTTCGTTGCTCCAACAAGATCATTGATGATATTCTACGGGAAAATTGTCCAGGACAACTCAAGATAAGTAAACACCATTATCTCCAACATGTAAACATTGCTCTGAATAACAAATTTAAATTGTTAATTGATGATCTTTTGTCCCAGAGAGAAGATACTTCACTTGGGTATCATAAATTATAACTTTATATAGTAAGGCAGTCTTTACTATTTCTTCAATGTTGTTTAGACTTAAGTGGATATTGTACATAACAGTCCTGAATGTCTTATCATTGGCAAGATATATAGCTCAGGGTACCTCAAAAGGCCATATACATCAGCTGAATGTCATAAACGTACATACAGATTAGCAATTCTCACACGTGATCCCTCATGAGTGTTTATCAGTTCCTCTGCATTGATTCTAAAAGACCCATTCTGAAATATTCTTCAGCTCGTCGATGTAAGAGTACGACGAACATTAGTTACATCCTGTATAACATATATCTTGCACTTCAAGCTATGTTAATGATTTTAGAAAATGTTGTCAAGGTAGACGACAACTATGGAACGTTACTGTTTATTGATTTGTATATCGGGATATAAAGAAAACAAAATCTTTACTCTAAACCGTTTTCGTCACAAATTGATCATTTACCAGTTTTTTTTTTTTTTTAATTATCAATTTCACTTAAAGTTTATTTTCACGATAATGGCAGTCTGGACCACTTTACTGAAGTTTGCAAAACACCATAGGCTATGGAAATGACAATTGCAGAAGCGTTAGTTAAAAATATAAATAAATACTGAGTGGTTTTGTAACTGAAAAATATCAGCGCCCTTCACACAGAAACGCACGCCATTTTGCGACTGACAAACTCCGTCTCTTAATATCACGCGACTCCGAGATTTCCGCTTATTGGCTGATTGTACTTTACATGAAATTTAATAGTAAAGTTATCTGTAAGAATATAAATTTGCTATAAAAATGCTGTAAAGTATTAGTATTTATTTCTTGGCTGTATCTCTATACAGCATACAGTTCCGTGGTGGTCCTGTTTCGAATCTTAACCATTTACACAAGTCATTTAACAATGTCATTTGTTCATTTTCTTTTATGTAGGAAATACTGTACACAACAATTAATGTTTGTTATATACTGTACAAGTTCGATAGAGCAGTGTACTGGAGGGTGTCAGTTTAGGGCCTTTGCTTGCCTATATACTGATAGCGAGAGATAATTAATGTATGGGTTTATAGTAATCTGTACCGGAATACATTATACTCTAGACCACCTTCCTATTACCGTCTATGCGTGTATACATAATCCCAGAACCACCTCCCTCCCAATCAGGTTCACGAGCGTTCTCCCACCCACACCAACAGAGTAGTAACGGGAATAGAAATGACGAGAAATGAAGTGACTGGTCCTCCCACTGAAAACTTTTGGGGACTCATGAAGAAAGATTAGGGAGTAGAATAGAAAACCAGGCAGTGTATAGAGAGGAAATGCATGAAGGTGTGGGAACGGTTACGACAGAGACCTTAATTATTTGCTTACATCTTGTCGACTTTGTTCCTCCCGGCTGTGTAGCATGCTCATTGAGGCAGAGGATCGACTGGATATTGACAAAATTGTAAGTTATATAATACTTCATATAAACTAATATTGTGTCATAACATTGCTGTATTTGAGTGCTGGCTTTGTGATTTATTAATACACAGCTAATATTTGAAACCCTATTGGGACAGTCATATTGGGAGAGAACAGGTGACGCATTATTTACAGTGGACAGATAGTACTGTGTCCGTAACCCATATTGTGTGTTCATTTAGAAATAAAGTTATATCTCCAAGTTGTGGTTCCTTCACTTCCATACTAACATGAAACCTTATTATGTAATGGCTACTGACGGTTGGACGGCAGCTGGGAAGGTCGCCGCTCTCTCCCCCCCCCCCTCCACATGTGGCATAGTTGCATACACATACATGCAATAAAACTTCTAATGCAAGTTTATCTGATCAGAACATAGTGTTTAAGTAATGCAATAATAACAACAGAGAGGAGGTCCATAAGTGTGTGACAATTAACTAAGGGGAGTAGCTGTACGGTGTTACTTAATTGTGATTCAATATGCGGCGCAAAATCGTCTTAGTAAATTTAACATTGCCACAAAATAATGGACAGACAAAAGCTGCGATTTGGGGGGGGGGGGGTCACTTATTTCAGAAAATTAATGTGAAAATAATTTCTGTGAGAACTGCTGTCTAAACAAACAACACCTGACAAGGAGACATGATAATTATGAAGAAAAAATTTAAGACGGTTTATGTCTCGATGACAAGAGATATACTCCTGAAACACTAACACTAACACACTCTAGTGGTGTATAACATACGTAAAACTTTGTGACGGTTCGCCCTGACCTATTCAACAGACTTCTACATATAACACATATTAACAAAGACTTAGGATGAACGCTGTTTTAGATTATACAAAACACCATTTCAAACATCAAAAGGCATACGTAAACCATGGAAACTTGAGATACCAATAATCATAATAATAATCATAATATTTATTCATTAAAGTTGTCACGCAGGATTACAATTGGATAAGTATGTTTATAAGAGATGCAAGTAAACAGTTCAGCATGACTACAAACAATGCATGAAGGCGATGGGAGTAATGTTTCCCGTGTGCCGAGAGTGTAGGTAAACTTGACCAAGGAATAGTCATCCATTACTTATTAAAATGGACACAGATGGCACAGGATTTGAAATTGATAGTGTTTATTTAACCAGTTTTAAAGATAAAAAGTGAACAACAATTATAACAACAACAATATCGACATGCGTTTTGAGACGGTTATTAACAATTTTCATAACCGGAATTCGTTCACATAAATACAACGATTTCACATTCATTGCTATTTTTATTATTTGATTTTTTATTATTTTGTAATGTATAAGAGTGATGAGTAAGGAACGTATAATTTAAGGAAGGAGTTTAAAGATGCAGACCTTCAATAACAACACTACAAAATTGCTAAAATGAAAAACAAACAAAATAAATAAACAGTAAAATAATACCCAGTAAAGATTCGGTTGAGTATAACTACAGAAAAAAAGAAAGAAACCCTAACTTGACCTTACCTTGATTATCACTTGTGGGAGGATGTTAGCGGCCGGGTAGCGCATAGTAGTGTTTTCTGATAAACGTATTATAAAACACGTTTGTTCACGCTGATGTGTAATTTGTTCAATCAAGCGTCCCTATACGGTCCAACGAATTACCCAAAAGTATATTAAATCAGGGTAAAATCTTAACGAATATATGTTTTACATCAATAAAACCTGATTAATAATGTTTTCATTGAAATGTAGTCGAAATAATAAACAGCGAAAACCGCTAAATTCCAAAGTCACCTATCCAAAATGGAGATATAATTACCGATGTTTCTGTTACTTTGGGGTATTTAACATAGCCGTAGGATTTACTTTGCGTTAGGTTAGGTTAGCGGAGTGCGTCACGATGGATCTGAGTTATCCCTTGTTCACGAACTCTTTGGAATTTAGCGTTCGCCAATACTGATAGTTTTTCACTGTTTATTATTTCATCTTACAAATTACTTTTTTCAAAATTACACTAAAAATATTATTAGACATGTTTTGTGTATGTATAACAGATATTCGTTAAGATTTTACCCTGATTTAATGTACTTTTGGGTACTTTTGGGTAATTCCTTGAACCCTCCCTATATGCAGAAACTATGAAGCCACAACGAGAATTTTTTTTCTTTGAAATTTTGCGTCTTCGTGCAAAATCAAACGTGTTTATCTTCACGTTATTAAGTCTACACCTCACTATGACACTTTGACGACCTTTGCAGAAAGAACACCATGGGCCTGGAAATGTCGATGGCAGCGGATTCGTTAATAAAAAGTTGGTTGGCCACTTTGACACACATCCAACACACACGGTAAACATCTTGCGACTGACCAATTCAACCTCAAAAGCTTGGCGGTTTGGGCATGCGCAGGTGTACCACGCGACCCCGGTGTTAATGAATATGATGTATTTCTTTGTGTATGAACCTCTGTCCTGCGTGGTAGTGAGAAGTGATACCACCCTTAGTGTCAAGACCTGACTGAATTACTCAGAATACGCAAACTGTACTCTAAGCCATGTCAATAAATTTGTTAAACTAAGAAAACTACTGAAGTTCCACTGATTGGCGGAACATAACCATGCGAGTATAAAGTCAACAATATGCCTTCAGCTGTGAGCTTGGAACCTTCCAATTAACTCGATAAAAATTCATTTGCGCCAAAAACATTATTGAGTTAAGCGTATTTTTATTTATTTTTTTGCTCTATCTTTCGATTTAAATCAAGATAGAATTCCGTTTTACTTTAGCAAATTTTAACCAAAATTCCACTTCAGGATTATGTCATGAAAGTAAACATCTGGTGTAATCGTGTTGTTTCACATAAGCCAACATCACCTATAGTTAGCGCAACAATTATCAATAAATGAAGGCAGATTGTGTCTTTAATTCCAACTCCTGCATTATGGCTTGAGGAACAATGTCAATTAGGAAGAACAAAGAAATTAACAATCATTATATTGTTTATATTCAGACATGTGTGAACTGTATCCAAACACAAGGTTCTCACCTGTTTCTACCTCAACATAACACACTTACAGACGATCGACAACATTACGCTATCATATATAATGTATTTCTTAAAAGGTAGTTTCACATACGTAACAATTCATATATATTTAGATTACTATTCAAAGATATAAATTGAGTCTAAAGAGTGTTAAGTCGGCACGAGTGTAGATAAATATTGGAAAACTATCTTAGTAGTTGGCAAGATACATATAGATAATCAAGTCTGATTTATTGTGCATCTTGTTCTTAAATCATTTAATACATGTAATAAGTTAATAACAGGAAGAAATTACTGACAATAGTAAATCCGAAATCATGTATCCTATTGTAATTATTAAGGATACAGTAACAAATATAATGTGTGTGTAAATTCTATAGATGAAAGTATTTGAAGTTAATTAGAAGAGTCTGCCTTGCCAGGGAGAATAACGCACGACAGAAAACGAGTCACTGTATACGGGAGACTTGAAAACTGAAGCACAATTACATCGCCACCACTTTGTGTCTTCAATATTTTACTGGGTTCAGAAGTACACCGTGAAAGACATGTGTGTACATAACATGTGTTTCACTCAGGTATTGTCAATTGTTGTATTGCATCACTTGTAGCAGCGAACACCCTCACAGTCTCCTCACGTTGGACCCGTCTTGTATTCCTTACTGTTGCTGGCCCCGCTCTTCATCAGGTATCTGGAAAATAATACACAGGTATTATGTTATACAAGACAAATGGACAGACAGACAGGCTATTATAGGTAGTACTGGTGAAGATTTAAAGCAACAGTTACTATACTGCCCAAAGTTTTCTTGTTTCCTAGAGCTCACCCCCACAGTAACACTACCATGTGTCAGTGAACTAATCCTGGGTGCTGCCGACTACAGAATAATCAATTGTTATCCAGGGAAAGTCATACAGTTATCTGACAGTATTATCGGCTGTTTCACTTTATGTCACGTTACGTCATGGTCCACCATCCCTGTATCTCTCCATAAACACCACGGTGCGCCATCTGATGGTTAAAAAATTAACTTGTCTCTGATGCATCAATATTATAAACTCATTTGTTTCGGCTTCACGTTGCGGCTGGCACATGGGGGTAGTTCCAAGTACTGTAGCTGGTTGGGCGAGACTGTATATACTACATACCTTATTGAATATGCCAGAAAATAGTGCAGTCTAATCAAGAACAAACTGTGTTCTGTATAAGCCCGAAGCAACCGACTCACAACTCTGCTGGGCCATTTGTATAACATCCATAATATAATAAAAGGCGTTTACAGTAATCACTAACAGCGTGAGTAACCTAGATATGTACGGAGACTTACTGAAACATCCATAAACCAAGACAAGATAACTGAGGAGAGAGGTGACTGAAGTATTATAATAAAATAAATCGATAAACAAGTTAAAATGATTCTGACACTCCTGCCAAATAGGTCATGAATTTTCTTACGACATCTATTCGGTTTTTTAGGGGGAGGGGGGTACAGTATTAAAGATAGCAGTATGGTAAGGTCCGTCAATACAAGATTCACAGCGCCTTGTAGAGAAGTCCATCTCAAACCCACATATTTGCTGAAGCAGGTATCGGCTTACCCCTTCCCCTAACCTACCTAACTAACTAGAATCAATATGTGGGCGATGTAGCTTTTGTTGGTTAAGCACCTTATCAAATTGGATAGCAGAAACAGTAAGGAACCTGAAGTAGGATTATAGCTGATCGGTAATGAAGGTTGGACGCCGACTCAACAACCCCAGTGTACAATAAAAGACCAGCGCTTGGTACTCACTCGTAATGAACTATTGTCACATTGTGCAGCCTGAACCTCGGAGAAGGATGGCGGTAGTTCCTCAAGACAGATATCATCATAGGATGGTGGTAAGTCTTGTTGATGGTGACACTGTTGATGGGGATGGTGGTACTGTTGGTGATCGGTGTGTGAAGGCGAGCTGCTGCCAGAATCTAGTATGGGTATCCTCCTGGTGATAGTGACAGTCCTCACACGCTCCACCACCTTACTTTTATGACTATATAAACAACAGCGCACGTAAACCGCGAACCCGAAGATGCTGCCCAAGGCATAAGGGAACACAACACTGGTCGGGAAGTGATGCTCTGGGTGCTTGTTCTTCATTATTTCCTTCATGAGATCTCTATAAAGATCTAAACCATTATAGGGGGGTTTGTTCCTCTTTGTCGAGGTTGAGAAAGTCTTGTTTTTGGAATATCTAGCCAGATTAGTTTCTGGGTGAGGGAACCTGAAGATTAGAGTATTCCGGCTACACTCCTCCAGCGGCGCCCTCCTCCACGACGTATGAAGAGTCGTTTTGCCTGTTATGTAAATCCTGAGTGTTTTTACATCTTTGGTGTAACTCAAATTGTACCACTGTCGGCCTGAGGAGTCCCGTAACTCAGGGTTCCTGCCCAGTGACTCCCTAACGTTCACTGAATAATGCTTGAAGACCGAACACTCTGTTCTATTAAATTCCGTCATATTAAACTTTACTGTAAATAACAGATGATTATTTGGGGTGTGGCAGAGTATAGTTTCAAACTCCAACAGTTTAACGGTGTTACGAGGCAAGAGGAACGGCGATATTGTAGGAACGCCGAGCTGGACTACTGAGGAGACTAGCAGTAGTAGGAGAGCGGGTGGTGGCACCAGCACAAAGCACACTGCTCTCCTAACACTCTCCACACACGTGTACATATTCATCATTTAAAAACACCTCGATTCCTATGTTAAATTTCACTCTTCATTAATTACATTATAATATTCACTAAGCATCACCAAGGGTTTTTCTTCAGCTGCCGTATGCAAGCCATCGCGGAGGTGAAAACGTCAATACACAAAACAAGACCAGCTGATCTACCAAAACACAAGCCCGCGCATGTGCTGAAATTCTCCAACACTTATATTATGTTTTTGCAGGCTAGAAAATGAATTCTCTTCCATTCACATTTAATATACTATACTGCATGAATATACAACATTGAGACACGCCCCTGCAAATTATAGGAACGGTGGTAATCGCTCACCGTCTAGTGACGTCACGGACGCGGGCTGTATGTTTTACCAAAGGACCACCCACTAGAGGTGGCCATCCCGAAGAAGAGAGGCCAGTGTAGGAGCTCTCCAATGCTCGAGAAATTTGACAAATGGTATTTAAGCCCAGCACGGTTCATTATTCCTCAGCTTGGGCTGGTAGACCGCTCCATTGATATTTCCAAGTACAGTATCAAGTTAGTGTACTTGTATAATTCAGCCGACTATAATTGTCTGGTTTCATTATTTATGCTAGAGTATATTTTGTTCAATATTCTACGTCAAGTGGTTAAGGATCTTACACAATAAGAAGTTTATCAATTCATTTGCTAGGTATTACCTCTTAATACACCATTTAGAACTATTTGGCATTTTCATTATAACAAGACAACGTTCAACCCCTTGTCAACACCCAGTACAGCACAAAACAATATTCAGCACGTGAATCTTGCGTGTCAGGGAGAACCATAAGAAAATGAAGCCTTAACTAAACACAAAACGACGACACTAATTCGATTTTTATTCAGTAGAATACTCAAAATTTACAAAAAGAATATGTTGATAATACAAGTTATCAATGTATACAAACTGCGGGTATACAAGAAACATTTAACAGGGGGAAATGTCGCCGAGGAGGCTGCTAGGATGGTCAAAGTCAAGTGCTAGTAGTTCGTCACAGCTGGGTAGGTGTAGATCAGTGGTTCTCCCTTTTTTTCCAGTTTTACCCCTATTTAAAGTCTGACGGGTTCAAATAACCCCAACGTAAAATTTTACTCTTTCCTTTTTATTCGATAAAGTTTCTATACAAGGCACAAGTGTTAACTAAGAGGTTACCACTGTAGATAGTGCTAGTAGGTCAAGAGCTAGTAGTTCACGTCACAGCTTGGTAGGTGTAGAGCAAGTGCTAGTGGTTCACGTCACAGCTTGGTAGGTGTAGAGCAAGTGCTAGTGGTTCACGTCACAGCTTGGTAAGTGTAGAGCAAGTGCTAGTAGTTCGTCACTCACGCACCTCCGGTTCAGCAGTAGAGTGTCTCTCTTTAAGCACCGCTACTGCTGCCCACACCTGAAACAAAAGGCATCCTGGTCAGTCATAGTGAGACCGGTGGGCGTTTAAACCTTGAATTATCAGCAGCGCCTCTTACTGTAGCATTCAAGCGAGTGAGCCACTATTCTCCGCACTACTGGGAGACGGCGAGACACACACACACACTCCAAGAAAACATCATCCTCTTTCTCCTCGGCTACCGAAAACTACACTATATTTCATTCAGTTCAGAAGGGACTCTGTACAAGGTTGGAGTCAGAGGTATTTTAGTCCAGGAAACAACGTTACTGCTGCTTACAATAACTAATAGTACAGGCCTACACAAAAACGTTCCCATTCTACTGACAGGATTTTGTGTTCACCAGAAGACTAAACTTAATTTGTACTGATTATTACTAAATTAAATATGAATAATATCAAATGGTTGTATATATGAAATCAAGACGTGTCGAGCATTGCCTGAAAAGCTTTTATCTATCAACTTTAATGCAAAATACTATAAATGAGAAAAAAAATTAAAAAGTTGTACAGGTAATGCATTGGTAACATATGCATTGTTTTACCTTTTACTTTCAAAACTTTACATTGAAATACTCGTTAAACTTCGAAACCAAGAAACTAAGTACGTACTCCATAAATAGTTTAGTAAATATATTATAAACCCAATGAAAACCTTTACATTTTACTTACATGACTACATAAATGTTTAAGATGCAATTTAATTTCTGTAACTGTACCGGATCCACAAACAATCACCGCTACTACAATGTTCACACTCCACAACAGCCGAGAGGACGTTCACAGCCCGATTCTCAACTTCATGTATACATTTCTTTATCTAATTAAACGTATACTTTCCTCAAGATTTTCCAAACTGAATTATTGTAATCATTGTTTTCAGCTACTCTATCAGACTTGGTATTTTTTTTTTTTTTTTTTATCTAGATCTAATAATGTTCATTCATACTTCACGACCAAATATTTTTTCCAGCCGATCTAATGTAGATTTTAAAACTTAATTCTATTCTTGAGCATTATACAGGGAGGTAGGCTTTTATCTATAATCTAATTTGACATTCATACTGACGGCAAAGTACTTATCAGCCGATCTAGAGATTCTTAATTCCTACCTAGAACTTGTGTACCTTACGTCAAACACTATCAAGAGCTTAATCTGGTCACCAAGTAGATTAACCAATATTCTAAAGCTTGACAGTATACCTTAAACTACTAAGGGAATACAGGGGGCTTGGATCTTAATATAATAAAGATTAATTTTTTCTCAAGTTACAGATAATGAAATTTATTTAAAACCATAAATATCAATAACTAATAAGTTACAGGGACCATAAACACCAAAACTACAGAACCACTTCAATTTTTTTCTAAATTGGGGAAAACTTGACGCGTATAACCAACTCAGTCCACGAAAATTTCCCCAGAGAACACTCGGGTCCTAGAAATAGCTCCAAGAAAATACAAAATACAAAAAAAACTCGATGCAAGAAGCTTATACCGGACAACACCGAGTACTTAAAATTAATATAAACTTAATCAGGGATCCTATTGCAGTGTGAAATATACGGAATCAACCAGCCAGGGAAAAATTCTTCACTGACATACTATCTAAACATATTATTGGGTCCATTTGCCTAATCAAGTCATATATACTTATGACAAATGTTAACCTACCCCCACCCAAGTGTGGAATATATCACAAATAGAAAGACTCAGTAGTACCTTATGTTTAATGTGGGAACACCATTCGTGACCATTGTCCAAGCTCCAGATCAATTCAGTCACCCGTAACAAAACACAAAACTGTAAATTTACCTAAACAAATAAAATTAAGTGGCAGTTGAAGATCAATTACTTAAAATAATTCCTTAAATATCTGAAAACTATGACTCCCCAGCTCCCTAAACGGCACTGCCAATACTCTGTACCCCACCTGCGATTCCACAAGCGAAAGAGAGACGTCTGTAATCCCCAGCCGTAGGTAACACACTGGGTAAATGAGTACCCGCCTCACCCGGAGTCACCTCCTCAACACCGTCTCGAACTTCTGTTGATTCAAACCACTCGAGCCCAGTGTGTGGAACGTGGATTTAATTGTGACTATTGATGAGTCCTGACACTTGTAAACATAATGAGTGCTAGACCTTAGATCATTGGCACTTAAATATATCAATAATCAATAGTTTAGAACCACAATTATTAACGTGAGACAGCTCGTGTAGTCGCTCAACTCGTCTTTGAACTTCAAACTTGTTATAGTAACCCTCTCCACCCTCGTCCTTATTCATTAATACACTTTCGTAATACAAAATAGTCGTCTCAATAAATTATTACTGTACAAGGTTTATCATATTTATAGTTATTTGAAGTTTTCTCCCGAATTCTAATTTCCCTGAAAATAAACTGCTGAAGTTTGGTCTGTTTACAACAAGCGGATGAGCGAAGGATCAGGCAAGACTCAGTTCAGTTTACTACTTTTATTCACAAAAAATATGTGAAAAAGTCTTAAAAGACTTTATCTGATTACAGCGATAGTATTTCTCTTCCCAAATTAACTGTGTTCTCAAAATGAGTCTCGTATAGTTAGTCACCCATATACAGCTGAGTGGTGAACTGTGCACGAACCAGACCTAAAAAACACGAGGCGAGTGATGGAGCCACTAGACCACAACACCATCATTCCCAAACTGCTGTATAGTCAATAGCGTCACAAAATTTAGTATAGATTTAAAATCCTTTTGGTAGAAATTAGATTAAATAGTTCGGTAGTTTTGTAATCATGGCGAGAATCTACATTACATCTTTCTACATTATCTACAACCCTCTACATTCTCTAAGATAGTGTTGTTAATCCCTTAACTACAGCTCTTTGGTCGTGTCGCGTCCAAGATGCCAACGTGAGAGTCAGTCCGTATATCCTGGCAATATTCCGCCTCACCATCTTCCTTCATTCCTGTTCGAGTCAATGTGATAAACTTACCCAGATGCTCTTCTTTGACTTAGTGTAGCCGAACGAACAATGACTCAGGTAGCTGCTAAGGAGAAAAGTGAACTAGGCCAAGACAGAGGAGGTTTGCGTGTGAGAAGTGTGGGAAGCACAGTATAATAATTATACTATACTTCCCGACAATTATTGGAGACAGACAGACATTAGCTGTTTGTGACCTCTGCATCGTTTTCCATTATTTGAGTTGTATTAAATATTTATAAGTTCATTAGAGATGGAAGTAGTCAAACAACAATTATCTGGGTATAATATATTTGAAACTTTACGATATATTTTTTATTATATAACCCATATAAATCTGTGTTATATTATCCGACATATAATAATCAACATTCACCGTAAAATATTTATCTACATAACTCTTTTCTATTATATGTATAATTAACTTCTATCGTATGTAATTATCCTAAGTGACACATAAAGATAAAACGTAAAATAAACATCAAGGTATAGATAGGGTCGTTATACAAGACCTTACACTCGTTAGTAATTTAGTACAGGACTGGGATGACGACGCCGGGAGGAGGCCTGTGTGAGGGCGCTGCTGATACTGTTCAAATCCTGCACAGTTACTGCCCCGCCTTGAAATCATGTTGGGCGAGATAGTAACGGCTTTGTGTAGTCTGGTTTTCCGACAGAGGACGCACGCTAGAATTGTCAGTGGTGCCCCCTTGCGGCTATTCTTCCCGCAGTCTTCACACTCCCAGTGGCGGGAGAGGATTGTTGTACTGAGTTGGCGGTCCATTGGTTTCGGTAAAAAACATCCTTATTGTGGAGGTAAGTGTGATTGATATCCGGTGTGATTTAGTACCAGTAAGTATAACCAGTTCACCAACACCACCAGGCTCACAGATACCCAGACCACAGGAGGGGATATAGCCTACCTTTCCTATCTCAACCTGGCAATTTTGGGTAACATGAATCCAAAGTCCAAGTGACTCATAAATCCCACGGTTTACTGGGCAAGCCTATCTTCTGTATACGTCACATAATCAGGGCACACTCATATGTATCTCCTGGTACACCACAAAGTAAAAAAATAGATAATAATAAGAAAAAAAATGTCACAATACAACAAGCTCACTGTTTCCCAGCGTTCGATGTGCTCTGTTTACTCGCGCAATCTACGAAAACTTTTAAGTGGTAGTCGAAGAAGACGACAAAAGGTGGTACATGTTCTCAATGCTGCAGGAGACAGTGTGATGTGGTGTCAATTCATAGCACTGGGAGGAGGGGGGTCAAACAGCACAACGGAGGAGGGTGTGGATGAGATTGTTTCAGTAGAGGAAGGAGAGGGAGGGTATGTGCTCTGCCAAAGCTTAATTACCTGACGCTGGTGATCAGGGGAGTCTGCAGCAGTCAATCACAATGCACCATAATCAATCCAGGTAGGTTTTAGCCAATCATTACACCCCAGCCATTGTAACCAGCCAATCATTATTCATCAGACGTAAGATTGCCAATGGAACACCACACTGTAAACACCATACTGGACAATGAATTTTAACCGTAAATCGAGACATAGCAGCTCTGGGACACCCAACTTGGCGTAACAATGTCCTCTGGAACATATAACTTCTGCAGATAACTTACACACTTCCTTCAGCTGTGATTACATTCGTCAAACTAGAAGAATTCCAAAACAAACTTGACCTACTCCCCTCATATCACCGTGAACTCTCTATACACGTAAATATATAAAGTAATTTTTGTTTGACTTTATTTTAATGTGCAGTATCGTACACATATCTGCAGACACCCTCAAGTGCTTATTACTACACGCTATATAACAAGGGTTCAATATATCAGGGTATATGGGTGATCAGAACATGAGGCTATATGGCGATCAGTACACGAGGCTATATGAGAATCTATACATGGTAGCGGGGTGCTCTTGGCCGTCATTTACACATTAATAACACATACTTGAGGGACAAAGGCTATTTATTTTACATTGTCAGTAAGGCGTTAAGGTTATTCTGCTTTACATTTCACTTTATTCGGACTAAGAACTTATGTGATTTGGGTAACCCTGAGACATACAGTACATACGTTGGGCGGCTCAGGATGCTGTATGTATAAAGCTGTTGTTTCTTACATATTGTATGTATACATTGTGCGTTTATGTATACTGCACAAGAATTATCACTCTGTGTACATATATTATAACTGTAGGGATACACTGTGCATGTATGTGTATATTTTGCATAAAGGTATTTGAATAAACAGATCATTTATTGAGGCGGATTCAAAAAAATCATCGACCACATCGAAAACAACGATGCATATATAATAAAAAAAACAATTGAGTATGAATAGCCTAACAATACGCAGTAACCCTTGATAACAAGCTAAGTAAAACTGGTTGACTGTGCTTCTAAGAGAAATAAATTATTGAAGGTCAGTTGAGACGTACGAGTGGCGGTTACAAGTACTAAAAACCTTGGCATTCAAGACAACCCTCTTTCTCTGCGTGGCAATCCGTAGTACTTGCAACTTAAAAACTGTCACTAATTTTAGCTTTCAATTTAACAGTAGCTAATTTGGTGATTGTTGAGACACCTTCAGCGTAGTTATTCACAACGTTACGATGTAGACACAGCCAACAGTGTCGTGTGGCCCGCACGGAGAGGTTTACAACACGGGGCTCCAGCAAGCATACTTTATTAACATTGCCGCCAGTCTACCAAGGGTTGGCCACGGGCGCGATGTCGAAGCCTTCTCCGGTGCTGTGGGGTAAGAGAGAGTCAAGTTAATGTCAGGTAAGGTACGGCAGTAGTATGGTGATGAAGGTTAAGTGAGAGAGGAGAGGGATACCGGGTAAAGTGGGATTATATGCTTCGTTTGCCTGAACTGTAGCTTGGGTTAGTAGGAGGCAACAAGCTGTGCTGATATGCTTGGTAACGGTATGTGTGGTGCGTAAATTCTAAACAAAGAAACAAAAACATAGGTAAGTTAATTTTATGAATGAATTTTAACTGGTATTTTAGATTGATGTTTAGGTTATTCATGCCGTAAGGACGCTACCATTTCTAAAGTACTAAACACTGTTCTATTAAGCTGGTTATTCATCTATCCAAAATTGCCTCTATATCTACAATTAGATCCTCTTCATGCTCACTTATTGTTATTTAATTGTAAGTGGTTTAAAGGCGGCTATTTTACATGGTTGTTTTTAATGTACAGTTATTACAGTTTGAAAATTAACACATATCAGCAGGTAAACAAATCATAAAGTATTATAAGAAAAATATAATTAAAGAAAATATTAACAACAAGCTTGATGTACAGTCGGCCAAAGAAATATGGACACTGGATCTGTAATAAAAATGTATCCAAACAAACCGCAACAGAAAATAAGATATGTTGCTGCCAGTGCCATCGGTTTGTTGACGTGTGAGAGGGTTAGCTCAGCAGGATTCATACCTCACCTTGTAAGGGAATAGAGTAGATAGCCCTTACGCGAGTTACCGCTAGATTTTGTTGTGTTCCAGTGCGTGTGTTCGTTTGTGTGCGAGGTGTGGTACTGTGGTCAGGGTATCCTCGCTGTCACTGGGGCACTCCGCATTCTCTCTCCAGGAGTGATGGGGTACATAGCGCTCTTATAAGTGAAGGAAAATGACTGTAGTAGTGATGAAAATTCAGCTGCCAAGAAATGAGCCAGGGGGACTATATACTGTAGTATGTCCCGAGGCCTACAAGTATGACGCGATTGGGTAGCGAACAGACTGTGGGAGCCAGCCAGTGTTTCTTCAGATAACCCGCCTCCTGGATGTTCTAATACCGTGCTGAGTTACTTGTTGTTACTTGAACTGTTTTCATAGCTATAAAGTGGTAAAGTTTTCTAGAATGGAAGATATATTATTATATTTTTGTTGTATTTGTGTGGAAAGCGTGAGCGAGTATAAATAGAACTTGTGATGTACTTTTTATATTAATAAACTCTTGACTGGAATCTCCTATTTATTTGGCCCCTTACGAGAGAATGTATCTAAAAACCCTGAGTTATGAGATCAAAACCCTTACACACACAAATCAATTGCTCTTTACTCATAGGCGGAAGAATATTCAAGTCTCCGCCAAAAATAACACCAATGCTTTAATTCACTTATAAATTATGCAAATACTCTGAAGGGCCGACTATACTATACATGCATAGAGAGAGAGAGAGAGAGAGAGTGTGTGTGTACTGTACGGTACACATCAACGGACCAGACCTCAGTTGACTTCACATCCAGAAGGTTGGTATTTATTTTATACGAACCGCGAGGATATGTTCTCTTCACACTGGCAGTTTATTGATACTAGCATATGGGATCACCTGCAGATTAATCACCCTAACGCTATCTGGGGGTTAGGTTAGGTCTAGTTAGGTTATATTAATATAGGTTAGGTTAGGTTAATACTGGTTAGGTTAGGATAGCTGGTTAGGTTAGGATAGCTTAATATAGGTTAGGTTTAAGTTAGGTTAGCGTTAGGGTGGTTACTTTTCAGTTGAAATAAGCAGAGGGATTCGAATTTTGGATAAACTATGAAAATCCATCTCAACTAACAAGGTTATGAGGGAGACTTAATTGTTGTTAAAGTATTCTAGTAATTGGTTGATAAAGTTCATATAGTCAGGTAAGAAGATGAGTGGTTTGAAGATAAGCAGTCACACTATGAACATCAACTCGACAAAGAAAACTACCATAAGGTTTAGTGAGTGACATGTTATCAGCTCTTGTACACATCTCAAAAAGTATCTTGATGGAGGGTGATCGATGAATTTCACAAAGAACACTAAGACTCCTATTGTCTCAGTAGGGTTATCAAAATCCTTCATCCGTTGTGTCATAATTGTCTAAACACCAAATCGTCTAGGTACTTTTTGGGGTGTGTGGTATATCTTGTTCTATGGTTCATTATATCGCTTCAATACAATACACGTCAACAGCACCAATTAGTTTAGGGAATTCACTGTAGGTCATCAGAGTTACAGTGACAAAAGACATATCTGGAAGAATCAGGTGAAGAGGATCGAAATTATTCCTTTTTTTTTTTCAAAGGTTAAAGTGAATCGCAACATGGAACTTATCGGTAGTGATGGCTTTATATATTAGGTTTCATAACTGTCTTGAAACTAATTTTAATTGGACGTTGGGAAGAGAGTTTGTTTCTATAAGTAGGAGATAGTGGTCGAGACTGAGGTCATTATTGAAACTGATTCATAGACCTGAACCCCTTTAACTACAGGGACGTCACTTTTAGTATTTTTTACGATTAACGCCAGATTTTATTCAGCAAGAGGAGATCCTATACACAAGGGGCTAGTAGAATATCTCTCCTAGTAGACTCTCCTACTTGGACTTTCCCTCCTAGTTGACGCTCTCTCCCTAACCTCTCTCCGGCAGTCACCACCTTCGGGAAAACAACCCGACCCTCTGAGGTTTGGTCCGTTTAACACCAATCACAGAAGAACTTGGAGTAAACAGTGCAAAACAGAAGTGCTATCGTGTGCAGTCATATCACTTGAAATTATGTGCTTAAAAACAAAACACACACACACACACACACACACAGAGGAAGGTTTGTGGAAATATTTAAATCACGTGTTTATATGTCCTCTGTGGTAGGACACCTTCCAGCTGTTCTCTATACTTAACCTGTCAACACCTACTGCCTGGGAAGTACCTGTAGTAGTTGTGTTGGTTACTGTCCTCACTACTGTCTCAGCTGTGTGTTATAGATGTTATTTGTGTTTGACTGTATGTTTGTGTATGTATAGACGTGGTTGTATGTATATGTATGAATATTAGTCTGTGTGTGTGTGTGTGTGTGTGTTTTTGTCTCTGTCAGTCTGTTTTTGTGTTTATCTATTGTAAACATTTTTAGATTCTCCAAAAAGGTCACTCATGTTTACTATTCTTGTTTAATCTCTTCAGAAGCTCTTCAATGTTTATGAAAATACAGAAAATGTAAATAATGAGGAATATTACAAACAAGTGCACCGGGACTTATGACGCATGCAGCTCAGTGAAGGGAAGTGGTTGTGCTGTGAACCATAAAAATAATCTTAAACCATCATTATCATCACTCAGGTCCTCAAGAAACGGAGAAGAAATAGTAAGAAATAAAAAATTCTTCAGAAAGACACAATCTGGACTTAAGAGTACATGCAAGTGTCTGGTTTTTAGGCTTGAGACCACCACAGCCTGCCAGGTCCTTACTGAGAGAAGTCAAAAGGTCATCTCGTATATCTCTGCCCTCAGTTTTGGATCACAGGGCTGCTTGGAAGAATGAGAAGAAAAAAAAAAACAAGGAATTTACTCGATGGGTTGATGAAGCTGTGTCTGTCGCCTACACACAGTACACAGAGAGGCTCCGTCACGACGCCTTGTGAGAGAAGTGTTCCTTAGACACCTTACATCACATCATAGTTTCTCAAGGGGTTGTTAATCGATATCTCCTCGTAACTGGCGATTTAAGAACAACTTCATTTATCACTTATTATTCTAAAGCACAAGAAAGACATCCAGAATTATATTAGAGTTGTACTGAGACTCTACTTTGTTACGTTCAGGTAGCACCAGTTACGAGGGAAATTATACATGTAAAGTCTTTGTGAATACGAAGCCCAGTGTGTTACTACAAGGCCAGTGTCCTTTACTTACGTTAAGTTGATCACAAGCTCTGTTCACCTCTCTGTTACTACCTCTGATCACTAGCTCTGATTGCTGCTGTAGTTCCAATCACTAGCTCTGATCTCCCTTCTCTATGGCTAGCTCTAATCACCCCTAACTGATTCTGGCTGAGATTAGCTCTAAGACTAGTTTAGCTCTGGTCAGCTCTGTTGTATGATCAGCCAGGATGTGATACAGAGCTTAATACTCTCGAGGCGCCACTCCCTATTGCACATTCTATGGCAAAAAAAAACAACAGAAATAACATGGTGACATTACAACTACCTCTACACACGCTTCATGAGACATCTGTGTAGGCCTATAAATAAAAAGATCTCGTGTATAAATAAAGAGATATGACGTACTTGTATTGCGTGTTGAAATCGGACTTTTCAGGGTTGAAGTTGGTCTTGTCGACGTCGTTGGTGGGGTATTCCCTGACGGCCAGCACCTTGGCGGAGTCAGTGACGCGGGGGCCTTTACGATGTTTATACCACCAATACTCGAAGGCCAGAGTCACGCACGCCAGCCCGATGCCCACGAAGATCACGATGAACACACCACCTGGCGGCCGCGGGATGAGTTAGTATGTAAACAATATGGTGTTATGGGAGTTTCTAGTCTAACTATATGATGGTGTGACTCCCTGTAACGCACTCTCTCTCTCTCTCCTCCCACCCTTCCCTCTCCTTCTCTCCCTTCCTTTCCTCACTCACTCCTCCCTCCCTTCCCCCCTCTCTCCCTCTCCCCTCTCCCTCACTCACCGATGTTCTCGATGCTAATACCGTCACTCTGGTCGTCGTCTTTCTCACAGACCTTCTTCTCAGGGTTTTGATTCCACCATCTCTCCTTCAGCGTCTCCAACTTCCTCTGGTTCAACAGCTTCAGGATCCTGTAGGGGGAGGAGGTGGTGGGGTGCGGGAGAGCAGAGGAGAGAAGGGAAGAGGAGGAGGTGGTGATGGAGAGAAGGAGAAAGGGGAAGTGGTGGGGAGAAGGGGTGGTGGTAGTGGGGCAAGAATGGAGTAGGAGGAGAAGGAAGTGGGAGAGAAAGGAAGAAGAGGATGTGGGAAAGACGGAGGAAGAAGAAGAAAGGAATACAAGGAAAACAGAAACGTAAGGGAGTTGATAATAAGGGACAAAAGAGGGAGAGGAGGAGGAGGAAGACAAGGAAAACAAAATAAGATAATCAACAAAAACAAAAATAACAACAGGCAATAATAATCAACTTGTCCTCACAAATTAGACACAAAACAAAAAATCAATAATGTTACTAATCTACCACGTACAAACAGTTACATTCTATTTATCATTATTTCATTTTTTCTTTATTTACAGTCGTCTTTAGGTTCCTCGGTGACACAAACACACACGCAGGCAGAGAAACAATGACTTAGTGTTTTATTTACCACTGTACGTGATTAACTGGTACGTGTTGAGTGAAGTACGTACAGATGATCATATATCAAGCACAAGAACAAGACAACAACGTACGTAAAGGACAGAAAAACATACATGTACATTCGCCCTCCAAAAAAGTATCTTGACGATTTTGTGTTGAGACAATATGACACAACGGATGAAGGATTTTGACAACCCATAAGAGACAACAGGAGTCACAGTGCTCATTTTGAAATTCATCGATCACCCTATGTATAGATACTATTTTTGGAGCTAATGTACTGAAGATTAAGACACACATACACACACACCTCTCCTCTAGTTTGTCTTTCTTACACCACCAGGAACCTGCAGTAGCGACCAGACAGTGTACGCTATCAGCTCAGGAGATCATAGGCTTGTATGTTATCAAGAGACTGAAGAAGGAACTGTAGTGAGATGACTTTACGTAGGACTCCTCTCGATTGATACTCCCATCCTACTCTTTCCATGTAGGATGATTTGCCTATATATTGTAACTGGCAGAGGGTGTGTTGGATGGGGTGAAGTCAGTATCATACCTTCAATAAATGCTACCGTCCTCCCAGCTGTTTGGGTACTGAGGATTATAATCTTTCACAAGACTGAAGTTTATACATTTTTATTCAGTTCAGAACAAAGTATGACAACTAGAAAACTATCGACTATCGTCACTACACAGTCAACATACTCACCTGGTACCAAACTACAGGAATAAGGGAGGTAAGCGTGTGTTAACTGGGATTTGTTTACACTGTGATACTTTCAGTGGGATAGAGAGCCGCAGCGTGAAGGACAAAGTACAGGTTGGTGTTCGGGGAGGTGTTGTTGGAGGGTGAAAGATGAGTGAGAAAAATGATGTTGAAATATGAGGGTGATAGATGAGGGTGACAGTTGAGGGTGGCAGATGAGGGTGACAGTTGAGGATGAAACAGGTCGAGTGATAGAGGCGAGAAGTCAATGTGGAGGCGACTAAATATATGGAAGGCTGAGACACTAGGGTGAAGGCTACTGTTACTGTGTGTGTGTGTGTGTGTGTGGGAAGACTGAGGAGTGTCATCCACCTGTACGGACCAACTCACGCATCATTGAACTGGTCCTTGAGAGGAGAACCTTGCTGAACGGCGATGGCGTAAGGCTTCCGAGAGAACTCCTCCCCGACTATTTGCAGGTCACAGTTGGTCAGCACCTGGTAGCGGATATCTGTAGCGTCACCTGAGAGTGGGAGGTGGGAGGGAGACGGGGAGGTCAGTGAGAAGAAGGTGGTTACGGTGTCAGGGAACATGTTGAGGGCGTAAGTCAGGACCTCTGTGGCGCGGACACCATGCTCTGCCCCTTCAGGTAATGAGACAGAGACCAGACAGGCGGTGCTGTGGACATGGCTGTGGGATGCGAGAGTTAACTTACCTGTGTGTGTGTGTGTGTGTGTGTGTAAGGTAAATCGCCACGGGATTATGGACAGACAGAATGCGTCGTGTTGTGTGTATGTTGGAGAAAAGTTCAGGTTAGTTAAGACAACACCTACGATTTGTACTTCATTAAATACTCTGTGACTGTGTTGTCTTCAGAAATTGTTATCATTGATTAAAAACAATTACTCTGTAGATGGATATATTGTACCCAATCAACGCTAACAGTGAGAGTAATCCTTAAGACGATTTTTGGAGAGGAAAAAAATAGTAGTTTCCTTTGAAGAATGTTTCGTGTAATAAGGAAAAAAATTACTTCAAAAATTTCTGGTGCATTCTTGAAAAAAAAAAAATGAATCCATGCTGGATCACCAAACACGAACGCCCAGCAGTCTGACAACAGCCATGCTTAACACATATAAAAAATGTGTTGTATGGCAGCAAAACATCACCAAGTGCAAAAAAAAAAAAAAAATAGATCCACGCCATCAAAAAGTAAATTCATCCAGGGAAAAATATCTTCATTTACCAGGGCCAAAAAAATCTGGACATGCTGGCTTTTCCGTCAGACCAAAAACACCGAAAACACCAAAAAGCACCACTAAAAAAAAAATACACATTCTCAAAAATAACAAAACTTCTTAGAAAAACACATTCCAAAAAAGGTTGAAATGTTAAAAAAATGGAATAAAAGTGTATTATCTATTTACTCACGCCCCTGAGAGCTGGTCTTTGAGGGGCGAGCCCTTGGTGACGGCTATGGCAAAAGGCTTCCTGGAGAACTCGTCCCCGACTGACATCATATCACAAGAGGTGAGGATGGCGTAGCGGATCTGTGTCGCGTCCCCTGTTGGTCACACGCCCACACCAACCCGTTACATGTCGCTCTGAGCTTACTGTTACTACTGGTCAGGAGATGTTACGTGTTACTGAGGTGACGGAGCGTAACAGGGATATGTATTGTGACTCACCATACGTTACATCCGTTACTTAAGCTCGCGTTACATCCCGCTCTGAACTTACTGTTACTTATTAGGAGATGCTACAGTCAGAAGAATTTTTGACTATGTGTTAGACGCGAGTAAACGTTAGTGTGTATATAAGTATCTTGATCTGATTATTTCATTTAATATCACAGGTCAAGTGGCGTTACTGAGTCTAATGTGACTGCTTAGTAACCGTTACTATATTCTGCGTCTCAATAAAAAAAAAAATTTACTTAGATCAGCGTAACAACCTGTGATTTGATGCTTTGTCTAACGATATAGTTTGTGATGTAATGTTTTCATAATGCGCCGCCAGGGGGAGACAGAATATACAAGAAACATCGATTTTATACCATAACTATATAAGAAACGTTGACTTTATACCATAACTATATAAGAAACGTTGACCTTATGGTAGAAACAAGACCTTATGCCATAACTATATAAGAAATGACCTTATGCCATAACTATATAAACGTTGACCTATACAACTATTGTATACCATAACCTGAAACGTTGACCTTATGCCATAACTATATAAGAAACGTTGACCTTATGCCATAACTATATTGACCTGCCATAACATAAAGAAACGTTGACCTTATGCCATAACTATAAAGAAACGTTAGAATATACAAGAACATATAAGAAACGTTGACCTTATGCCATACCATATAAGAAACGTTGACCAGCCATAACCATAAGAAACGTTGGACTTTATACCATAACTATATAAGAAACGTTGACCTTATGCCATGCAACTATATTTATAAATATATGGATGGTTATAGTAAAATGAGGATGCCATCACGGTAAACCAAAATGTTAATCTACAAAATGTTATTTATATATATCATTAATAATTCATCTTTTTTGTACAGTAAGAAGATTATTATTAAATTGCACAGCCAGTTTAACACATCTCTCCCCACATCTTCACCATCACACCTCAACCTTTCTTATTCTCCTCGCCTCTCAACCCTCTACCTCTTCTGCTAATCCTCCTCTCCCCCTCTCATTCTTCCCCTCCTTCCCCCCCCTCCCAGTCCTCTCTCTCCTCCTTATCCCCCACCCCCTTCGCTCTCTCTGTCACAACACACTCAGGTAGGCAAATCCTTCACTGGAGGAGGTAGACTTCTCACTCTCCAGCACGGCTTGAAGGTGATGGGTAGTCCAGCCTCCCTGCATCGACTGCCACATCTTGGTGTATTTGTCACCGGGGTAGTCCAGCTAACTTGGTCTCTCTAAATGTCACATCGAATCGTTTAGTGACATGTCCTTCCAGATCCTGATGGAGGGAATGTATATTGTAGGTGTGGTGGTGACGGGGAGGTGTGGTGGGAGGTGAGGTGTGGTCGGTGAGGTGGTGGTGAGATGGGGAGGTGGGTGATGGGGAGGTGTGGGAGGATGGGGAGGTGGTGGTGATGGGGAGGTGGTGGTGATGGGGAGGTGGTGGGATGGGGGAGGTGGTGGGTGTGGGAGGGGTGGGTGATGGGGAGGTGTGGTGGTGATGGGGAGGTGGTGGTGTGTGATGGGAGGATGGGGGTGGGAGGTGGTGGTGATGGGAGGTGGGTGGGTGAGGTGGGGAGTGGTGGGGGTGATGGGGGTGGGGAGGTGTGGTGGTGATGGAAGGGTGGTGGTGATGGGAGGTGGTGATGGGGGGTGGTGGTGATGGGAGGTGTGGTGGTGATGGGGAGGTGTGGTGATGGTGGTGGTGATGGGAGGTGGTGGGTGTGGGGTGATGGGGAGGTCTGGTGGTGTGGTGATGGGTGTGGTGGTGAGGGGAGGTGTGGTGATGGGGAGGTGTGGTCAGATGGGGGGAGGTGTGGTGGTGATGGGGGAGGTGGATGTGGGGATGGGGGTGTGGTGGTGATGGGGAGGTGTGGTGGGTGGATGGGAGGTGGTGGTGGTGGGGGATGGGGAGGTGGTGGTGATGGGGGAGTGGTGGTGATGGGGGTGGGTGGGTGGGGATGGGGGAGGTGTGTGGTTGAGGTGGGTGGTGGTGGTGATGGGGAGGTGTGGTGGTGGTGATGGGGAGGTGGGGAGGGGGGAGGTGGCGGTGGTGATGGGTGGTGGGGGTGGTGATGGGGAGGGGTGGTGATGGGGAGGTGGGGTGATGGGAGGTGGCGGATGGGGATGGGGAGGTGGTGAGGTGATGGGGAGGTGGTGGTGATGGGGAGGTGTGGTGGTGATGGGTGAGGTGTGGTGGTGGTGATGGGGAAGGTGGTGGTTGAGGTGGTGGGATGGGGGAGGTGGTGGTGGGTGATGGGAGGTGTGGTGGTGATGGGGAGGTGGTGGTGGGGGAGGTGTGGTGGTGATGGGGGTGGTGTGGTCGATGGGGAGGTGATGGGGAGGTGTGGTGGTGGTGGGTGAGGTGTGGTGGTGAGGGGGAGGTGGTGGTGGTAGTGGTGAGGTGGTCGGTGGGATGGGGGGTGATGGGGTGGTGTGGTCGGTGGTGTGGTGTGGTGGTGGATGTGGGAGGTGTGGTGGTGGTGGTGGTGGATGGGAGGTGGGGAGGTGTGGTGGTGGTAGTGGTGAGGTGTGGTGGTGATGGGGAGGTGTGGTGGTGACGGGAAGATGTACTGGAAGGGACACATTAAATAAGAACCTCTTTTTAAATAAATTAATAAAGACGCTCCGTGAAAACCAGCACCCAGCTTATTTCACCTTTAGACCTAACCTAACCTAACCTAAACCACCAAGGTATCGTTAGGGCTTTTAATCATCAGGTGAAACAAACGACAGGTGCTCTCGTGTGAAGTGTCCCCCTTAAACGACTCATCACTCACTCGTAAAACTTCTTCTCTATGTAAGCCATCCTCTCGAAGTAGGTCATGGTGGAGGTGCCGTTCATGGGGGCGTACTGGACCTTGTACTGGTTACTGAGGTCGTCCAGGGACTCAATGGGAGTATCCAAACGCGACACTGAAGGAGGGAATACAAAGGTGTCGTCAGAGTTATTCAGTTAGGTGTTACATGACTCATAATAGTTATAATAATCACACTAGCCATAAGAAAACTCAAACAAATCATTTCTCAAACAATCAATTATTCCTTAACTCAAACGTGATGACTTGTTAACGTGATGACCTGTTAACGTGATGACCTGTTCACGTGATGACCTGTTAACGTGATGCCTTGTTCTTGATTATTTCTAAAGCTCTTGAGGTCCCAGGTCTTCCCATGTTAAATACCCAGTCTTTCACTTTCCTCTATACCTCCTCTCCAGAACACTTAGTTCCTATTTCCCCCTTCCCCCCCCTCCTTTTCTGCCGCTATTTCTACCCAATTTCCCAAGGGACTAGTTTTGTGGATGTCTTAGTATTAGTGACAATAAGGCATCTCAACTAACCTGTCAAGAAGGCAGCCAAGTTAGCCGTGTAGGAGGCGATGATGATGAACCCAAAGAGCCACCAGGTCGCCGCTACTAGCCTTCCGGACAAGTTCTTAGGCGCCTCTCCACCACCCTGAAGAGACGAGAGACGAACACGAGGGGTAAACACAAGGGGCGCTGAGTGATGCTCTCCCTAACACAACATCACAGGAACACAGGAACACAACATTTTTCCTCTTACCACCAACATACAATAACACATATCCACTCATCAACATAGACACAATGACTGGACTTTCCCACCCTCCTCTTCCTACCCATTCTCTTCCTCCTCCTCCTCCTCCATCTTCTTGTTCTTCTTCCTCCTTTTTTGCTAGCTTCCTCCTACTCCACCTTCTGCTATTCATGTCCCCCTCTTCTCTCCCAAACCTCCTTCCTCCTCTCCCTCCTTCAGCACCTACCTGGGGCGTAAGGGAAGTCATACAGAACCATAGACACTCCTTCAGGTTGAACTCTCTCTTCTCGTCGTCATCCTTGTAGCGTTCCTTGTTGTTCTGGTAGCTGTAGGGGCTGAACCGGTCGAAGATATACAGGAGGACGCTGTAGGAGAGAGAATGTGTACAGAATGATGTTTTAGGAGAGAGAATGTGTATAGGAGATGATTTAGGAGAGAGAATGTGGACAGGAAGATGTTCAGGGTGACAGAATGTGGACAGGAAGATGTTCAGGGTGACAGAATGTGGACAGGAAGATGTTCAGGGTGACAGAATGTGGACAGGAAGATATCATTGGTAGTAATGGTGATGGTGGTGTGGTGTTGGTAATGAAAGGCGGTATAGTAGTGATAGTGAGGTGGTATGGTGGTGATGTGGTGTTGGTAGTGACGGTATGGTGGTGGTGGTGGTGGTAATGGTGGTAGTGGGTGTGGTGGTGGTGTAAGGACGTGAGATCCACTTATTCACTATTCGGATAACAATGAGTAATGAATGATTGTATGTAGTGAACTAACTCCGGCTACACACTACATACTGACCGGTTATTCATTGTCCTTTAGTTTATGTATGTGTGTATACATGTATGTACTGTATGTAAGTACTGTATGTATGTGATATCGAAGCCCTAACTCACCTGGTGAAGCCATAAGCGAAGAGGATACACAACCACACCTCAGGCTCCAGCACAGTTAGGAACTTGAAGAGTGAGGTGGGCACTTTGGGCTTCTTCATGAGGATAGTGATGCCTACCAGATCATAGTAAGGCACGGTGAAGTCTACCACGTTCTCCCGTTCAGCCATGACAGATAATGGTGCCAAGGCGATGTCTGCACGCTGTAGGAGAAAAGCTGTTGTGAGTCTCAGGATGTGTGAGTCAGTGATAAATAAACGTATGTGTCACAGAATACTACTACTACTACTAATAATAAATAATAGTAATAACAAATAAATAAACAAATAAACCAGGGTTACGACACACACACACACAAACTAGTTCCCTCGGTGTGTTCAGGGGTACCAACCTTCTCGATGAGTTGCTTGATCATGCCGTTCCACTCATGGTTGTCGTCCATCGTGCCAAACTTGCCATCAGGAGCTTCTGCAATCTCGTATCTGGTGGAACCGGAATGATACAACACAATTATAGGCCTGGGGGGTAATTATAGGCTTAAATAAATGCTTAATCGACCATAAATTTGAAGTGACTTAGAGGCTGAGGTGTAGACGGTCAAGGAAGAGGTTGAAGGACTTACTCGAAGTTGATGATTTCTTTGATTTCGTTGATGAGGTCGATACAGTAGCCGTAGTATTCGTCTTCACCGTCTTCGTTGGTGCGTTTCATGATAAAGGGAGGTTGCTGTACTGTGGTCACCCTGTACACAGTCACCGCCTACAGCAGGAGAAACAGACGTTAGGGTTACTTGATGCATTGGGGTAGGGAGGGAAGGGAGGGAGGGAACCGTGTAATAAGAGAGAAGGAAGGCAGGAAGGAAGGGGGAAGGGAGAGAGAATGCAACAAGAGAAAGGGTAAGGAAGGGAGGGTGGGAGGGAGAGACTAATGCACCAGAAGGGGGGAGGAGGGAAAGTGTGAGGGAAGGAAGGGACGTGCAGCAGGAAAGAACAGGATTGAGGGAGGGGTCCATGCACCAGGAGAGAAGGGAGGGAGGGAGATCCAAACATTATGGACCATGAAATTATATTTATCCAACACATGGATAAATACAAGACAAACATCAAAAGAAGAGAAAGTAAACAGCTAATGAGTGTTATTTTCACAGGGGTATACAGGTCGTCCCTCTCCCTCGGTGGTGGACAGAGAGTTGTACACATTAGCTGCTGAGGACAAGACACGTGTAGTACCACGCCTCACGGTCTGACAGTAAGGTTCAGAGCGACACGACAACACCAGATCAATATAATGTGTCACTATAACCTCAATGATGAAGGTATAATCCCCATTAGTGTTATGAGTATCGGTGTTTCCTTAATGTCTGAAGGTAAGGAGGTCACCCAAGTTAGAGACCAGGTGCGTGAGGTCAGAGAGACTCACCTGGCAGAGGGGAGGGTGAGGATAGAGGGGAAGCTTACCTGGAAATCACTAAGGGTCTGGCCACTCTTGAACATAAGTGTACCGGGCATCCCAGCCGACCATTCCCCCAAGGTCTTGCGCTCCGCTGTTCGTCCTGCGAGAATCTTGAACTTGTCCATAGTAAGAGGGACATCTGGGTACGACATGCCATTACTTCCCCAGCTAATACTCGCCCAGGTGTTGGTCATTGACACCTGCCACCAGGGAGAAGTATAGGTAAGGTTTTTAATACAAGGAATACATTAAACAACCCGATACAGTAAATTATAGTTATTATGCTAGTTTTATTGACGTGGGAAATATAATGCAAAATATATAGCTAACACCGTGACCCTTCAGCTGACTCACCGACTGGAGGGCAGAGCGTAGGTCAAAGTCGTTCCTGACGGGGGGATTGTCCTCGCTGAATTCCTCACACCTCAGGTACTCGAAGTCTGTGTACTTGCCAGCAGCCGCCATCTTCCTGTATGAAGAGATTACACCACTCACTCCCTCTCATTGGTTACCATGGTAGTTGTCCACTCACATGGTATCATAACACACACCACATGGCACCATAACACACACCATACCTTAAAAACTACCAACTAGAAAAATGGTGACAAGTGAATATCGAAAAGAAATCGGCCATCTTACACTCTTAGTAACTGTATGTGTGTTCAGTAGCCAGCTGGTATATGTTTGTCAGTGTTGGATAGCGAATTACTATAGTTATTGACCAGTCTATTATTAACCTATAACACACACTAATATATCCACACAGTGTTGTAGTGAAGAGCCTCGACACAAGCACACGAAAGAGGTGACACAATGAAGACTCATCATTACTCACGCCGCGCCTAAGATGCCTCGCATGAAGTACTCGAAGTAAGCCACAGCGTCGATCTCAGGGGTGCTGGTAAGCCCGTAGTCTCGCTGGAGCATGGCGATTCTTCCGCGACTGTCTGCACTAGTGTGAGGCCGCAGGTAGACTATAGAGGCATTCTCACAACCACATTGGATATCCTGGTTATCCTGTAGTGACGATAACACCTGTCAGTCCTCCACCTGTGTCTATACTAACACCTGTCCAACCTCAAGGCCAAGAGTAAACAATCCTCACAGGTGTAATTATCATAGGTGATGGCCAGATGTAAACAAGACTCACCCTACAGCCGTTAACAAGCACTTAGGGATCGAGAACACTAACTAAACTGAATTCTTAATATCTTTTGACGATTAACTTTATACACGTGAACTGAATACATGATTACCATTATTAGATTACTGCAAATTGTCATGTTTTTAGCGAAGTTCAGAGAGGAGCTAACTCGTATCTTACAGAAGGTGTATCTTATAGAGGCCTCCCGAAGACAGATCGTATGTTGGAGAGGGATTAGAGAAGGGGCATACCTTAGAGAGGGCATACCAGGCGTACTTCCGGCCGAACATGTCGTTGGCTGTGGCGGCATCCAGGATCCGGCTGATGGTGTCCCCGCTGCCGACGGCGAAGTAGTTAACGATGTCTGCGTCCTGGGGAGAGGAAGGGAGAGGTTGGAGGCAGTAGATAAATAGTACAGGTACTCTACTGGGGGCCTTACACACACACACACACACACACACAGACACACACACACACACACACACACACACATACACACGCACATACACACAATAATAAATGGTTTTATTGGTTCTTCAGCCTTTGGACTGCAGAACTTTTCAATAAACCATTCAACACACAACACACACACACACACACAGTACAGAGACACCACCAACCTTGAGTCTCTTGGTCTGTCTCCTCACTTCCTTCTCGTCGCCTCCACCCTCGTCATAATGTGGCGACAAGGGAGGTTCTGTAGCAGTGACTTGTACTTGTGTTCCATCACTGTGTTGGAGCAGGTGGTGGTGGTGGTGGTGGTGGAGAGTAGGATGGTGGGGAGGATGTGAGGAGGGTGGTGATGGTGTTGGTGGGAGGTAGGATAGTGGTGGAGAATGATGGTGAGGATTGGAGGTAGTAGGAGGAGGAGAGAATGCATTTTAAAATCGCACATTAAAATATTTAATAATAATAATAATAATATATAATAATATGTAAAATAATAATAATAATAAAAAAATAAAATAATAATAATAATAATAATAATAATGATAATAATAATAATAATAATAATTGTATATATATATAATATTATAAGGTGGTTCTTGCCTTCCTGGACATTTCCTGTGTGTGTGTGTGTGAGGTGTGTGTGTGTGTGTGTAGAGATATTGACTCAAGATGAAAGGCATTTTGGCCTCACGTTGATGTAAAAAACCAATGTTGATTTCTTTCACAGATTAGATAGACAGGTACTTAGAGGTGAGATAAAGACAGGTGTGTAGAGGGAGGTGATAAAGACATGTGTGGTAGAGGGAGGTGATAAAGAGAGGTGTATAGAGGAAGGTGATAAAGACATGTGTGTAGAGGGAAGGGTGATAAAGACAGGTGTGAGGGGGAAGGGTGATAAAGACAGGTGTGTAGAAGGGTGATAAACAGGTGTGTGGGGGAGGTGATAAAGACAGGTGTGTAGAGGAGGGTGATAAAGACAGGTGTGTAGAGGTGGATAAAGACAGATGTGTGGGGGAAGGGTGATAAAGACAGGTGTGTAGAGAAGGGGGTGATAAAGACTGGTGTGGGGGGTGATAAAGACGGGTGTGTGGGGAGAAAAGACAGATTGTGTGGGGGTGATAAGACAGGTGTGTAGAGGTGATAAAACAGGTGTGTGAGGCAGGTGATAAAGACAGGTGTGTGGGGAAGGGTGATAAAGACAGGTGTGTAGGGGAAAGGGTGATAAAGACTGGTGTGTAGAGGAGGTGATAAAGACAGGTGTGTAGAAGGGATGATAAAAACAGGTGTGTAGAGAAGGGTGATAGAGACAGGTGTGTAGAGGAAAGGGTGATAAAGAGAGGTGTGTAGAGGTGATAAAGAAAAGGTGTGTAGAGGAAAGGGTGATAAAGACAGGTGTGTAGAGAGAAAGGTGATAAAGACAGGTGTGTAGAGAAGGGTGATAAAGACAGGTGTGTAGGGGAAAGGGTGTAACGACAGGTGTGTGAGAGGATGATAAAGACAGGTGTGTAGAGAAGGGTGATAAAGACAGGTGTGGGGAGAGTGATAAAGACAGGTGTGTAGAGGAGAGGGTGATAAAGACAGGTGTGCGAGGAAAGGGTGATAAAGACTGGTGTGTAGAGGAAGGGGTGATAGACAGGTGTGTAGAGGAAAGGGTGATAAAGATAGGTGTGTAGAGGGAAGGGTGATAAAGACATGTGTGTAGAGGGAAGGGTGATAAAGACATGTGTGTAAAGGAAAGGGTACTGACGAAGAACTTACCGAAAGTATCGTCATAGATTATCCCCGCGTTAGTGATGTTTTGAGTACGAACGATGTCCCTGATTGATTGGACGATGATGTCACCTGGAGGCATCAACTGCACCAGGTACTCCTCTTCACTAGGTGTTAGTTTCCGCCACTCCCTAAACAGGTGACAAACGCCATCAGCACCTATACGTGTCTATGGCTGTTGACCTTAACTTGTGTTCCTTATAACATCATTACACTGCAAGACTCAACTTTTATGATATGGGTTCTATGTCTATTTCAAGTCTGTCTGTCTATCTCTCTGTCTATCTGTTTGTCTATCTGCCTGTCTCTCTGTTAACCTGCCTATCTGTTTAGTGTTTACCAACCTGCCTATCTGTCTGTCTACCTATCTGTCTGTCTCCTAGGGATCCTCGCCTTATATCTCCTTCCTGGCCGTATGAGGCGGAGAAGGTGGGGAGGGTAAGGGCTCTGGTGAAACTCTTGATGGTCTCAGAGATCATGCCCGTAGTGGTGGCATCGAGTACTATGTGAGGTGGCTTGCCGGCGTCGATAGCTTCGTCCATTAGATCACACGATTTGTTGACCGTCACCTCGACATCGTTTCCTGTGACCAAGAGATTGAGTTTAAAAGAAGAGGCGTGGAATTAGAAGTCAAAGTATGTACTGTATATCTAACTTAACCTAAGACAACCTAAGTTAACCTCACTCAACCTAACTCAGTCTGACTCACTTAACCCAACACACACAGAGAACACCACTCACGAGACTCAGTACAGGACGACACGCACTCAACCTGTTGTATATTTCACCAATGGTAATGCACTACGAATAGGTTATATTGATACGCTACAGTTATCTAGGTGAGTGCCCGGGCAGTATCGGTCACTTTGGTTAACTCACAAAGGCCAGGTCTTGGTGGAATGACTCTTAGATTCGGTGGCCTTAAGTCCTCTTGAGTATAAGAGATTAGCCATTGATTCTCCATAACTGTAGTGTATGAATATTTATACACAAATTACGAGAGTGTAAACCAACACGGTGTAGTGGTCATAGAGGTAGGTTCTAGGTGAGTGTTAGCCAAGTATTGATCAGCCTTTGACTGCCTCCGCTGGCGATCATGTAACGTCACAGAGAGCTTTCTTGTGTTTGGGAATTTCTTATGGTGTGTCGTGAACTGAGACACGCATTGGGGAATGGTTTTCAATATCACGTTTATCGAATCAAGGGCACCAAAATATCCCGGTGGCCCTGTTTCTGAAGTTACGGGTCAAGGGCAGTAATGATACGGCAGATTTCATTGAAACATTCAAAATCTTGACAGTGATGGAAAACGTGAACCCGGGACATTTTCTTGTGATGTCACGCACCACCAACACGAGGGGACATAACTACAAGATCGCCAAGTTATTATACAGAACGAATATAAGGAAGTTCTTTTTCACAGAGGGTGGTCGACTTAGATAACGGTGAGTGTGTTGGTGAGTGCGTTGGTGAGTGTGTTGTCATGTTCTGTAATACCATTAACTCTAGTGGTTTTCTTTGAGATTCTCTTGACCACGTAACTAGTTTTTGTTTCTGCATTTTTTCTCTCCAAATTTGAAAGAGATTTTACAAGTGAGGACGTAGGCTATTATGATTTAACTTATAACGGGGAAATTTGAGCACAACTTAACGAATACTTAAGCAGTAATATTTTCTAGTTTTCTGGGCTTTCTTGTATACACAGTGAACACATCTGTACAGGCAATTATAAATATTGACGCATAATTTAACAATTCTATACATTACTACTAGGTTACCAATTACTATACCGATAAATTAGCTTGTCTTTGAGATAAAAAAAACACTATCATAAATATAAGCTTTTGTACTGTAGATATTCCCCTAACAGAGCAAAATACATAAACATAGCAGTTAGGCATAAACAATACACCATTCTCTTTCACACACACACACACACACACACACACCATAAAGAACGTATATGGGAAACTATGATAAACGACCCATCCATTCACCCAAAGACACACAACCACATCTAACTAAATAAAAAAATCAACTTGACAACATTTAATCATCTCCAAAATATTTTCAAACAAAATATAACTCTATTAGCTATCACTTAACCTCGTAGAAGAAGTAAAAAGGTAGATAAACATTAGGTTAAATTAGGCCTAGAGATTTTATTGTTGTTACTCACCTTTCGGGATGGCGTAGATGTGCTTGCCGTCCACCATAGCGCCTTCTCCTGTATTTTTCTCCAAGTAAGAGATGGCCGCGTCGAGGCTCTGTTTTACCAGCATGTTGTCCTCGTCATACGTCATAACTGTAACGAGACCAAGGAAACTGTAACGAGAACAAGTCAACTGTAACGAGGCCAAAGCAACTGTAACGAGACCAAAGCAACTGTAACGAGACCAAAGCAACTGTAACGAGACCAAACAACCTCTACCTCTGTAACATATATAATGAATCTATTGTTGGTGACTGTTGGAGAAATATTGTTGGTGATGCAGTGTTGGTGAGGTAGTGTGTGTGTGCGTGTGTGTGTGCATAATACACCATGTTCATGTGCGTATATATTTATCACCCTAGACCACACATGTTCTGGTCGATTACTTTAAATCAATTACTCTTTGGTCAGCGAACTAGTTGTGGTTGTTGGTTGTGACAGTGGAGTGTGGATGTGGTTTGTGGTTGCTGCTGTTGAGTCTTAGTTGCGGGCGTGTGGCTGCTGAATGTGGTTGGGGCTATAGAGTGTGGTTATGGTTGTTGGTCGTGGTTGTTAAAAGTGGTTGCGGAGTATTGTGGAGTATTAATAGTTGTAGAACATAGTTGGTAGAGTGATTGTAGGATATAGGATGATGTAGTGGTTGTTATTGTGATATTTGGGTTGTTAGAAAACTCGTGTGTATGGTTGTACTGGACTGTGGCGATGGAATGAATGGTTGTGAGTGACAGTGAGTGCAGACGTGTGTAAATTCGAGGTGTTCTGAGTACAGGAAACACACAACCTTACAGTGTTAAAAATGATAGAAAGAAGATCAATTGAAACACACACGCACATACACACATACACACACACACACAGAGGTGATGTGTGGCTGGCTAAAGTGTTGAATAATAGAGGAGAGTTTTTGTGGTACTGCCTCACACTACAACACCACCACCACCAACATCATTTGTGCCTCACACCTGTACACATACATACACACAAACACATACATACATACAGTAGCTAAAACAACTATCTGTGTATACTTTGTGGGAAACAATGAGACCATGGACGATAAATTTTGGTATATGAGGGCTGTCACTAGTAGCACGTAAAATTTCGGAGCATATCGACCCCCACCTGCACAGATAGTTGTTTTAGCGACTGTACATTTATCCATTGTGGTATAGGAATAAAGACGAAAGCTAAGGTGCTCCGTTGTTTCCCTTTTCCCGTGTGATTTTATCAAGATTTATCTTATCCACGTTTTCATTGTGGATCTATAAAATATATATATATATATATATATATATATATATATATATATATATATATATATATATATATATATATATATATATATATATATATATATATATATATATATATACACAGGATTGGAGTGACTGAATGGATACTATGTTTTCTTCTATTACAGTCTTAAGGAACATACATTCATACATATATGCCTCGATACACACACACGCACACATGCTTTTAACCCTTACAACAGAACGGTGGCTCCTTGTGTGTGTGTGTATGTGTGACCGAGATAAGATGAACACTTCTTATAAAATTTGACAGATATTTTAGGTGTTAAGTGAGACGAAACAGCTGATCTTCGACTATGTAATTATTGTGGGTGTATTGGTGGAGGAAGAAAGTATAGTAAGTGTATTGAAATCATATTGTGTGTAGTCTTAATATTTAGTCAACCACCACCACACACCACCACCACCACACCACTACTACCACCACACACACCACCACCACACACCACCACCACCACCACACACCACCACCACCACCACACACCACCACCACCACCACCACACCACTACTACCACCACACACCACCACCACACACCACCACCACCACACCACCACCACCACTACCACCACACACCACCACACACACCACCACCACCACCACCACCACCACCACTACCACCACACACCACCACCACCACCACACACCACCACACACCACCACCACACACCACCACCACCACCACCACCACCACCACCACTACTACCACCACACACCACCACCACCACCACACACCACCACACACACCACCACCACCACACACCACCACAACCACTACTACCACCATCACCACCACCACCACCACCACTACCATCACCATTCACCACCACCTCACTACCACCACACACCACCAAACACCACCACTACTACCACCACACACCACCACCACCACTCACTACCACCACACACCACCACCACCACCACACCACCACCACCACTGGCTCACCACACACCACCACCACCACCACCACACATTCCACACCACCACTCACCACCAAGACACCACCAAACACCACCACCACTACCACCACCACAGACCACCACACACCACCACCACCACATCACCACCACACAACCACTACACACCATTATCACCACCACCACCACCACCACTTCCACACCATCACCACACACCACACACCACCACACCACTACCACCACACACCACCAAACACCACCACCACTACCACACCAATAACAACCACCACCACCACCACTACTACCACCACACACCACCACCACACACCACCACCACCACCACTACCACCACACACCACCACCACCACCACACCTACCACGAACAATCCATCACTCCGGTAACACATTATTCAGTTAAAATGTTACGTACCGTATCTTGGTAAGGCTTTGGGAGGACATGTGACCTGCCATACAATATTCATGGGTGGGGCGAAGTAGCTCTGGTCGATACTTACCTCTCTCTCTCTCTCTCTCTCTCTCTCTCTCTCTCTGTACTGCTCATGTATGTATCACCACATATCACGTCTACCTACTCCTACATAGACCCCAGGAGGCATTTGAGGAGGAAAATAGGTCAATGTTTTGTAGCTTTGAATAATTAAACAGTCGACTTCTGTAGTACGTCATTTATGTAGTGTGTATAGTGTTATGGTACAGATGGTGCCTTTTGTAGAGTGCCACAACGCTGTAGTAATAGTGCCACAAGACAATCCTAGAGGGGTGATTGGTGCGATGACATCACTAAAAGAATATCCTCGAGTGGCGATTGGTGCCATACCGTCACTCAATCACTGAAACAATCCTCGAGTGGTGATTGTTTACACCAGCCCACTACCAGAAACAACTGAGGGCGATTGGTGCCATACCGTCACTCAATCACTGAAACAATCCTCGAGTGGTGATTGGTGCCATACCGTCACTCAATCACTGAAACAATCCTCGAGTGGTGATTGGTGCCATACCGCCACTCAATCACTAAAACAATCCTCGAGTGGTGATTGGTGTCATGACATCACTAAAACAAACGAGTTGTGATTGGGTGATTGGTGCCATGACGTCACTAACACAATATCCTCGAGTGGTGATTGGTGCAATGACGTCACTACCACAATATCCTCGAGTGGTGATTGGTGCAATGACGTCACTAACACAATATCCTCGAGTGGTGATTGGTGCCATGACGTCACTAAAACAAACGAGTGGTGATTGGTGCCATGACGTCACTAAAACAAACGAGTGGTGATTGGTGCCATGACGTCACTGACACAATATCCTCGGTGGTGATTGGTGCAATGACGTCACTAACAATATCCTCGAGTGGTGATTGGTGCCATGACGTCCACTAAACAAACGAGTGGTGATTGGTGCCATGACGTCACTAAAACAAACGAGTGGTGATTGGTGCGACGTCACTAAAACAAACGAGTGGTGATTGGTGCCATGACGTCACTAAAACAAACGAGTGGTGATTGGTGCCATGATCACTAACACAATATCCTCGAGCGGTGATTGGTGCAATGACGTCACTAACACAATATTCTCAGTGGTGATTGGTGCCATGACGTCACTAAAACAAACGAGTGGTGATTGGTGCCATGACGTCACTAACACAATATCCTCGAGCGGTGATTGGTGCCATGACGTCACTAACACAATATCCTCGAGTGGTGATTGGTGCCATGATCACTAAAAACAAACAGTGGTGATTGGTGCCATGACGTCACTAAAACAAACGAGTGGTGATTGGTGCCATGACATCACTAAAACAAACGAGTGGTGATTGGTGCCATGACATCACCACAATATCCTCGAGTGGTGATTGGTGCAATGACGTCACTAACAATATCTCAGTGGTGATTGGTGCAATGACGTCACTAACACAATATCCTCAGTGGTGATTGGTGTCATGACGTCACTAAAACAAACGAGTGGTGATTGTGCAATGACGTCACTAAAACAAACAGTGGTGATTGGTGCCATGACGTCACTGACACAATATCCTCAGTGGTGATTGGTGCCATGACGTCACTAAAACAAACGAGTGGTGATTGGTGCATGACGTCACTAAAACAAACGAGTGGTGATTGGTGCCATGACGTCACTAACACAATATCCTCGAGCAGTGATTGGTGCCATGACGTCACTAACACAATATTCTCGAGTGGTGATTGGTGCCATGACGTCACTAAAACAAACGAGTGGTGATTGGTGCCATGAGGTCACTAACACAATATCCTCGAGCGGTGATTGGTGCCATGACGTCACTAACACAATATCCTCAGTGGTGATTGGTGCCATGACGTCACTAAAACAAACGATTGGTGATTGGTGCCATGACGTCACTATCACAATATCCTCAGTGGTGATTGGTGCCATACCGTCACTAAAACAAACAGTGGTGATTGGTGCCATTACGTCACTAAAACAAACGAGTGGTGATTGGTGCCATGACGTCACTAACACAATATCCTCGAGCGGTGATTGGTGCAATGACGTCACTAACACAATATTCTCAGTGGTGATTGGTGCCATGACGTCACTAAAACAAACGAGTGGTGATTGGTGCCATGACGTCACTAACACAATATCCTCGAGCGGTGATTGGTGCCATGACGTCACTAACACAATATCCTCGAGTGGTGATTGGTGCCATGACGTCACTAAAACAAACGAGTGGTGATTGGTGCCATGACGTCACTAAAACAAACGAGTGGTGATTGGTGCCATGACATCACTAAAACAAACGAGTGGTGATTGGTGCCATGACGTCACTAACACAATATCCTCGAGTGGTGATTGGTTT